ACATGTACTTATTGTTTCTTTTCTTTTTTATTTTTAAGATATAGTGTAAACAGTTTTTGATAGGCCTTTTAGAAATAAAATAAAATAAAAAATATCTCTATCTAAATCTATATCTTTTAATATGAACATAGAGATGGCCCTGTAATTCATATAAACAGTAATTATGTAAACTTTTCAATCGAACTAGGACGGACGATCGATATCGAGTAATTGCTTCACTCTAAATAAAGCTCAAGCAAATAAGAGTAAAGTAAAGTAAAGTAACAGCCTATACATGTCCCACTGCAGGGCAAAGGCCTCCTCTATATAGAGGGTATCAGGGCATAGTCCACCACGCGGCCCCACTGCGGATTGGTGGACTTCACATATTTTCGAAATATATATATTTTTTTGTTATTATTTCGAAAATATGCAGGTTTCCTCACGATGTTTTCCTTCACGTGATAAGTCAGCACTTAAAGTTAAAAACTTCATTGGTGCCGGCACCGGGGATCGAACTCAGGTTGCTCCAGTATATTGAATTAAAGGCGAGCGCCCGGACACTGAGCTATCACGGCTCAAGCAAATATGCGTTCGTAATTAGAATATATTTATATTCACGCCCGTCATATAGAAGGGGGTAAGTGTTCTTTATCGAGAGCCAATCCAAACTTTTTCTTTATGTGAGAAGTTCGCAAGCGAGCTGAGCGGTGATGATAAGTGATAACCGCTGCCCACGGAGTGCCTACTTAACAAATTAATTCTTGAAAAACAAAAAGATTTACTAGTTTTTAGATTTATTGCTGAAAATAGTATGTCGGGTCGAAACAGCTTCATTTTTCTCGTTGAAATTAAACAAAGTTTCGTGCCAAATTTCCTGAAAGTCCACAAAACTCTCTTTAAACAGGAAACGTTTTCTGGCAAGCGATTGCATATGTATGTCGCCGTGCAGTAAAGCTGAATTAAGAGCAACTACTTGTCTATTACTCACGCCAGCAACCGCCTATGGGATCAGGCAGAATGATCCATATGGATTTCCACTTTCCGTGTCGCCACACAAATCAACACGTCAACGCACACACGACCTCTTTCAGTATAACAAATTTGTTCGATAAATAATTCAGGCATTGCTATTCCGATAACTAACGCGACAAAAGCTCTCTCCAATACCGATGTATTATGCTTGCGTATATACATTAATACTCGACGAAAGGACCCTTAATAGATTAAGATAAATTTTAATTTACGCGTATCGCAGTACATTAGGGAATTTAAGGGTTTGGAACAACCCTAAACCAGGAGCAGTTAAATTTCGCTCTTGACTAATCAGCTGAACAGTGTACAGTGTTGGATATCCGGGATATGCCATCTCAATAAACACTACTGTAGGGTGGAAACTTAACGGTGGTAGGGCCACGCAGCAGCCTCGGCTGTTGCACGAATTGGCAGGCTCGTCCGGGTAAATACCACGACCTCACAGAAGACCGGCGTCAATAGGAAATATAATACTTTCGCGTTTCGTCTGGTGAGTGAGGTGGTCGGAGCCCAATTTCCAAAAGGGTTGTCAACGCATCTGCAAACCTCCTATCTGCCACAGCTAGTATCGGAATAATAGACGTCGAAATCTCGAGCAATGTCCAGTTCCGCGGTCAATTGGAAGGTAAGGCCAAATTGGCCTCAAAGAAACTTGGTGTGCTCAGCAAGGCGAGACAGTACTTCACGGCGGCTCAACGCTTAAAACTCTATAAGGCGCAAATTCGGCCCCACATGGAGTACTGTTCTCATCTCATGTGCGGGAGCCCCTCATTACCAGCTTCTTCCATTTGACCGCATTCAACATAGGGCGGCTAGGGTTATCGACGATCAAAGTCTTTCCGATCAGCTTGATCCTTTGGCTCTGCGTAGAGATGTTGGATCACTCTGCATCTTCTACCGCATTTATCACGGGGAGTGTTCTGAGGAATTGTTTGGATTGATCCCGGCGGCTGAATTCCACTATCGGACATCGCGCCAAAAATTTCATCCACACCACCTCGATGTCCAGCGTTCCACAACAGCGCGATTTTCAAGACATTTCTGGCCTCGCACAACCACTCTGTGGAACCAGCTGCCGCCGGCGGTCTTTCCGAACCGTTACGACCTGGGAACCTTCAAGAAAAGAGCACACTCTTTTCTAAAAGGCCGTCAACGCATTTGTGCGCCCTCGGGTGTTGCAGGTGTTCATGGGCGGCGGTAATCACTTACCATCAGGTGAGCCTCCTGCTCGTTTGCTCCTTTTCTCCATAAAAAATGGCTCAGCAATGCTCGCTTGGCAATTTTTCACATAAAAGAGTTCATTTCTTATGGTTCAGTGTCGTAAGCAGTGGCGATGCATATGTCATAGGTTGGACCCCAGTGTGTACTACTCTATTTTTATTAGACATCATTTACGGTCATTAATTAAATGAAAAACCTGTTTAGTACGGAGTTGCCTTATTGTATTATAATGGTAATCAACTTAATAACTGTTTATTACAACTTATATTAAGATCAATAAAGATCTTTGTAGGTATAATTTAAAAAGTGACGCCCATAAATGAATTGGAATATACATGATTTCGATTCACAAAAGGTACTTTCTCATACTTAAAGGTATCATAACAGTTAACCATCTACTGTTGCCAAATATAAAATAGTAACATTTGTTTATAAATTGGTATTTGAATCCACGAAGTTTGACTGGAAAGCCGACTTTAAGCAACTAAGCCACAGCCAGTTAAATGTATGTATATATATATATATATACAGCGTGTCGTTACCATCGCGACAATAAATGAACACACGTCTAACGCTACTTGCCAATAATCATAAAAAATATTAACGTTAAACAAAATCCATAACTAAAAAAAAATATTTTTCAAACAAACTAATTAAGTAAAAAAGAAACAAAATTTGTAACATCCTATACAACTCGCGCCACAACGTCGCATTACAAGCATCTCCTTCTAACAGTATGTTTTGTCTCTTTTAAATTCATTCAACCCATTCATATGCTTTGTGACCTTTACAAATGAACTTTACGTTACGCTTTTATAGGTAAGGGTGTTCTAAAATTCTGTGTTTTGGAAAATTGAATAACTCTGTAAATATTGATGTTTAAAGAATTTAAATGTTTAATACAACTTTAAAAACTTATCCCCTATGTGTGTGTTCATTTATTGTCGCGATGGTAACGACACGCTGTGTATATATATACATACACATACACACATTGCTATGTGTATATATGTATATATATACACATAGCAATGTGAAATGTTTCTTTACAATCAGTCAGCGCAATGAATAGGACGTTGGTCTTAAGTGACATGAAATAAGAAGTTGGTGCCAACAAAAAAAAAGTTGCAAGTCGGTACAAAATAGACAAAGAATAGTTGAAGTGGCGAACGTTTCAGCACTAGGTCAATTACGTAAGATCGTCTGGTTTTTTAGCAACATAGACATCTCTTTGTCGTTAACAGAAACAAGATAACATGGATGTTAGAATAGCATTTTTTGCAGCATAAAATTATAATATAGGATTTTTATTGGTCTCAGAAAAACCTATTAATACATCAAGTTTTGTTCTGTCTTCCTTCTGCAATTGCGTAACAAATTTGAAAATAACTTAAAAAAAAAAATATCCTCCATTATTTGTAATATTTACTTTTTTTTATAGTATATTATACGTAGTGCAATACATTTTGTCACCAAACATGAGTCACAATCTTGCAGAAACATTGCATTCGAAACAAAGCTAGTAGCTACAAGGTCACACAGTTAATGCTTTCTAGTTTCTATTGGTATTAAACTAAAACATAATGGACTGTTTTACACTCAAAGCAAAAATTTATTCATTGTATCCTGGTAGTTATTACTTACTTTTACACTTTTTACCCACAGTATAAATTAACAATTCAACACCACAAACAAACAGATTAAAAAGAGTGTGTAATAAAAAATTCAGTGAGCATTTTATCTAAGCAGGAAAAACATAAGCTTTGCACCATTTAACAGCAGTGATAAGTTTTGGGCAATGTTTTATTTATTTGAGATGTATTTAATAAAATTTCACATATTTATAAAATGTTATTAGCCAGTAGAGCCATGATAGTGCAGAATACAGGCTAATTCTAATTCAGTATAGCAGTATAGAGCAACTTTAATGCAAATCTCGCATCCGTGCCCAGCATCAATGAAATTGTTTTTCAATGTTAACTTATCACATGCTTCGCGGTGAAGAAAAACATCAAGACAGAGACTGCATATTTTCAAAATAATAATAAAAAAAATGTTTCCAGATTTGTGTAGTCTGCCAACCTGCAGTGGTGTTGCATGGTGGACTATGCCCTAATAACCTACAGAGGTTACTACACTACACAGGTAGTGGAGGCCTTTGCCAAACAGTGGGGCAAACATAGACTGTTACTAAACTTTTCTAATTATATTATGTGTGCATTCTTTTACAAACATAAATTTAATGTTAAATGTAAATATTGGATGTAGAAGATAAATAGTTTAATAAGTTAAAAGAATGGAGCTTAAAATACAATGAGTTAAAAGAAATTTTCAAATTAAAATTTTGTAGTGCTAATCTCGGCACCAAAAATTCAGCTAGCGTTCTTGGCACCATGGTTTATTAAAAACATTAGTTTTATTAGAAAACAAAAAGTTTTTCGCCGCTACGCCAGACACTTTTAACCACTAAGCTGATTTCCACAACAATGAAAATCTCAATGTATTTTATATAAATGTTTTTGCAATATAAGCAATGGTTTCCGCATCTATTATTATACTTAACAGTAGACAAACAATTTCTAATATTGTTTTACACATTGTAGAATTTGAGTGCAAATCCAGTAGACTTGAGTCAATACCTGGCAATGAAAAACTTTTTACAAATTTTAATAGTCAAATTGTTGTTTAGACTTTATAATATACTGTCAATTTCCATTTTATACTAAAGCAAACAAGCATAGCACATTTGGAAAATAATAACTTACTTGTTTTCCTGTAAACTGGAATGTGGAGCAATGACATTGGAAAAATTGAGAGCTTGGCTGATGCTTTGACCAATGGCATCTTGAGATGATACAACCAAGTTTTCCACAGATTTTCTCCTAAATTATAATAAAATTTTAGAATCAAGTAATAATCAATTATAATTAATAAATAATAAATTATTAACAATAATTATAATAAAGGGAGAAAGGCAGGGGATCAAAACCAGTTTATAATGAATATCTCTTAAATAAAACACTATTGTAATAGATAACTTAAAAACAAACAATAAACCTTATGGATAAAAATATTTGAATTATATTAAAATAAAATATTGTACCAATACATTCACATGATACAACCATGATATATGTCTAAAATTAGAAATGTTAAAATTAAGAAAATATCAGCATCTATTCTCCTCCTTCCCAATCTCTACTTTTAATTTGACATTTATATATTAGACAGTTCACAGAAATGAATGAAACATAATTCGTAGAATAACAATGATAAATTACTAAAAAAAGAAGTGGCGCCGAAGATAACAATCATTTATTAGAGTTTAAATAAATACACGACGACGATGCCTAACGTCGGTATACAATGTAAGAAGTGATATACAACAATAATAAAGTGGATACTTACATGGAAATCGCAATGTTACGGCTGTCTAATTCTGAAGCACTCATTTTAATTATATTGCATTTTACTTCACTTTGATTCCAATCACTTTAAAGTTATTGTTAACAGCTGGAATTTTTGCTTTCATCATCCGTATAGATAGTCAGATGGCTTTTTCACAAAAATACAAGAAGACAACATCGATTTGCGGTACTTTAATGACAGTTCAAGTTGACTTAAGTGAAGCATAATTGCCTATAAGAAATATTGTTACCAAAAATAATCATTAGTAAAATAGTAGTAATTACAGCTTTTTCAAAATTCATCGGGCGTGACAAATAGACCTACGGACCATGGAGAAACAACCTAGCTGGTGCTCGATAACGTCGTCCGCTCCACTGCATCTCCGCGAACCCTTTTAAGGAAAGATGAACATTTCATTCAATACATTAACATATTTTTTAATGTTTACAAGACTGCATCGTCAAAAGCTTCTACCACTTAATAACTATTTACTGTACTTTAATGACTATTTATTGGTTATATATATATAACAGCTTACATACATTTCATAAAAAAAAGAATTTTTATTTTATCTTTAATGCAAACATGTATTTCTTTTTCTTCTTTAATGGCGAATATTTTTATCTGCAGCGGATTTAAAATGACATTGACAATGACAGTTGACTTGTGAAATGTCAGTGTACACGTGAAATTGAGTGAGACATTGTTATGAAAATGTTATAAGTAGTTAATGTTCGTGAAAATACTTTTTATGTAAGTTATTAGCTATGGCCGATGAGAGTATATTTGATAAAAAGAAAGCGCATCATGCAAAGCGTGCTGGTCGGAAGGCGGACAAGAAAAAGAAGAAAAATCAAGTCGATCAATCTAACCTAAGTGCGAGGCAAAGAAATCCGAAAGCGTTTGCAATACAATCGGCAGTACGGGCCGAAAGACAGTTTAGGAGACGGGAGGATGTGATATCTAAAAAGCAGCACATTCCTCGTGTGGATAAAACTCCCTTGGAGCCTCCGCCAATTGTAGTGGCCATAGTTGGTCCACCTCGCGTGGGCAAAACCACGCTAATCAACAATTTAATCAAAAGCTTTATTAAGACTAATGTGACAAGCACAAATGGCCCCATAACTATAGTTACTTCCAAGAAACGACGCCTCACGTTGATTGAATGCAATAATGATATAAACTCTATGATAGACATTGCCAAATGCGCTGATTTGGTTTTACTATTATGTGACGCTAGCTTCGGCTTCGAAATGGAGATTTTTGAGTTCCTAAACATTTGCCAGGTGCATGGAATGCCAAAAGTTATGGGTGTTCTTACTCATCTGGATATGATAAAGAATGCAAAAACTTTAAAGACAACAAAGAAGACATTAAAGCATCGTTTTTGGACGGAAGTTTATCCTGGAGCTAAATTGTTCTACCTCTCCGGCATTGTACATGGTGAATATCTAAGAAATGAAATTAAAAATTTATCAAGATTTATATCTGTGATGAAATTTAGACCACTTAGCTGGCGTACTACCCATGCCTACATATTAGCTGATCGACTAGAGGACATAACAAACCAAGAGGCTATAAGAAAAGATCCCAAAGTTAGTAGAGATGTAGTCCTATATGGTTATGTAAGAGGTGTACCATTGATGAAGGAGACTATGGTGCACATTGCAGGTAAAATATAAATTGTAAACATGTGTTTTAATTAAAAATACATCATAATAATTCATATCCTGTATCTGAGAAGTTACAGGAATATTATATCATTGAATTTCACTATTCTTTTTCATTTTAAATTCAGTTGAGTATGTCTTGACTTAATTATTATAAAGAAAATTTTTGGTATATTCCATTATTTATATAGTAAACCAAAACTGTGAAGTAAGTACATAGTGAAAATGTAAGCATATAAAAACTATTAAAATGATTTTCTTTAAATAAACAATATATGCTACATGCAACATCTGCTTCAAAATGGAGCAGTCAAATAATCCTTTAAGCAGTGTGTTTTATAACTATACAAAATCCATGAAAATTTTAAAATAAAATTACTTGAAACATGTATAATAAAAAAGCTTATTGTAACAAAAACAATTATAAAACATAATTAGTTTCCAATATTCATTTAAAAAAAAAGGTCATGGTTAAATGAAAAGTATAAGAATCCAAGTTGCTTTCTTCCTATCTAAATTCTTTTATGTACAAAAACTGCTATCAAAAATTTGTATATGGTATTTCAAAATAAATCCCCTCAAAATTTCTGTAGATATTTGAATTGAATTTTTTTTTTCAAATCAGATCATCTTCGATTTGACGAAAACTATGTCTAAATAAACTTACATGTTTACTTTTTGGTCCAGTTGTGTTTTTTTACTAAGTTTTATTTTCTTTATTTTACAGGCGTTGGCGACATGAAGATAAACGAACTTTCATACTTACCTGATCCTTGCCCTTTGCCAAATAGAGAAAAGAAACGTCATCTCATGGAGAGGGAGAGGCAGATTTATGCGCCGTTCTCTGGCGTTGGTGGTATTGTTTACGACAAAGACGCTGTTTATATCGAACTTCAGGGCTCGCATTCTCATAAAAAGGAAGACGAGGAAACGAATGAAAAAATGGCTTTACTCAAAAATGTCGTTGAAACTAAAGAGACTGTCGATGAGCAAATGCAAGAGTCTGGGTTTAAACTTTTCAGTGGTGGCGCTGTCATATACCCAGATATGGTCAAAGATGATGAATATTTGCAACATGACAAAAACAATGATAGTTCTGATGGATCAAGCGACGAAGAGAGCGAATCAGACAATGATAGTGGCATAGATCAAAGCGAAAAAGATACCGACGGAAAAAATAACAAATTGCCATGGGATAACAACTCTGGCTCCGAAGCCGATGACGATGAGAACGAAACAGAGAATAAAGTTGATTCCGTAGACGACGAAAATTCTGACAATAATGAGGATTTTAGTACGAAATGGAAGGAAAAGCTTGGCGAAAAAGCAACGATGGCGTATTTTGAAAGACAGAAGACTTCGAAGAATTTAATGAAATTAGTGTACGGTGAATACGAAATCGGAAATAAAAATAAAGATAATAGCCAGAAAGAGCACGAGAGCGAAAGCGATGATGAAGAAATTGGCGGGCTATTTAAAAAAGTCACCAGCACCCAAAAGAAAAAACAGAAACAGAAAGAACAGCTGGACAACGACGAGTGCTCTTATTTCTATTCTTTAAACAAACCCAACTTTAGGGATTGGACAACGGAATCGAATAAACAGTACCTAATAAACAGTTTCGTAACCGGCAAAAGATCAGCTGATGAAGATGCTTCTGAGCTTCTTAAGCTAGACGACGCAAGTGACGCCGACGAAGAGCTTTACGGCGATTTCGAGGATTTGGAAACGGGCGAAAAACATGTCACAGAAGAAAACAAAGATTCATCCCAAGAAGATACTGCTGGTACTAAGCGTAAAGCTGAGCCGTTGAAATCTGAGATCCTTGATAAGAAATTAAAGCTCAAAGCTAAATTCGACGCAGAGTACGACAATCCAGATGATCACAGGATTAAGGGTGACCATTCTTATTACGAAAGTCTTAAAGCGGAGGCGCTTAAACAGTCCGAGCTGAACAAATCGGTCTTTGAAAATCTCGATAACGGTTTAAGAATTGAAGTAGAGGGTTTCCGACCAGGATTGTATGTTCGAATGTTGTTCAAGAGCATGCCGTCGGAGTTTGTGACAAACTTCGATCCGAGTTATCCAATACTTATCGGAGCACTCAACATGGCTGAACAAAATATCGGCTTTGTATCCTGTAAAGTCAAAAAGCATAGGTGGTATAAGAAAATTCTGAAGACAAACGATCCACTTATAATATCGCTGGGATGGCGCCGCTTTCAAACTCTACCCATATATTCAAAAATAGAAGATGACTTAAAATGTAGATATTTGAAATATACCCCGGAGCATGTTACTTGCAACATGCATTTCTATGGTCCTATTACACCACAAAATACGGGTTTCCTAGCACTTCAAACAGTCAACAATAATCCAAATGATATCAAACAGCTTGGGTTCAGGATAGCAGCAACGGGTAGTGTAAACGAAATAAATAAATCCACTCACATAGTTAAAAAACTCAAATTAGTTGGAACGCCGTTAAAAATATACAAAAAGACTGCATTCATCAAGGACATGTTTACGAGTACACTTGAGGTGGCGAAATTTGAGGGGGGCAGGGTCAAAACCGTATCGGGTATAAGAGGCCAGATTAAGAAGGCACTTAACAAACCAGAAGGCGCATTCCGCGCAACGTTCGAAGACAAAATCCTCATGAGCGATATCGTTTTCTGTCGGACGTGGTTTAAAGTTGACGTCACGAAGTTCTACGCACCAGTGGTGAACCTACTTTTGCCGCCGGGAAATAAAAATGCTTGGCAAGGTATGAAAACGAAGGGCCAACTGAAGAGGGAGAAGAACATACAGTGTGACGCCAATACTGACTCTATGTACAAAGACATCGAAAGAGAACCTAAAGTATTCAAACCCTTGGTCATACCTAAAGCACTACAAAAAGGACTGCCTTACAGATTCAAACCCAAAGAGCAAAAGACAACGTTATCCGGCAAAAAGACGAAGAATATGTTTAAAGACAGAATAGCCGTTGTGAAGAGTCCACATGAACAGAAGGTTACCAACGTCATGAAAATGCTAAAAACTAACTTTGAACAAAAGAAAGAAAAGGAAAAGGAAGCCGCGGCCGACAGACTGCAAAAGCACAAAAAGCAAGTGGAGTTGGAAGAGTGGCGTAAAATAAAAAGGCAGAAGGAGTTGAAGAAAAAGATATGTAGGCATTTAAGTAAAATGTCCAGTAAGAAAAATCCACAAATGTGAAAGAAAAAAAATATTAAATGCATTTATTTGTAAATGTAAATACGTTTTATTCAGACTTTCTATAAAAAAATAGTATGTCGACTTTAAGTGAGAAGGTAGCAAGCGGGTAGCGGTTCACCTGATGTTATTTAACCGCCGCCCATGCATAGTTCTAACACGAGTGGGATAACAGATTCAACGGTGGTAGGGCCACGCAGCAGCCTCGGCTGTTGCACGGATGGGCAGGCCCGTCCGGGTTAGTACCACGACCTCACAGAAGACCAGCGTAAAGTGGAAGTGTGACAAATACTTTCGCGTTTCGTCTGGTGAGTGAGATAGCCGGAGCCCAATTATCAAAAGGTTGTCAACGCATCCGTAACGGGCAATCGGGTGTGGCAGATGTCCATGGGCGGCGGTATTCTCTTAACATCAGGTGAACCGTCTACTCGTTTGACAACTATTCGCATTTAAAAAAAAAAAGATGCGTTGCCACTTTTCAATAAAAAGGGCTCCGGTTACCTGATACCAGACGAAAACGCAGAAGTATAACACTTCCACTTCACGCCAGTCTTCTCTAATGTCTTCAGTCGTGGTACTTCCCCGGACGGACCTGTCCGTTCGAGGAACAGCGAAGACTATTGCGTGGCCCTACCACAGTGGTATTAGCGGACAAGTATTGTTTGGTTAGGTAATTGAAAATAAAAGTTCATTTTTTTATTTTGTAGGTAAAATAGTAGTCTATCTTAACAATCTCACAGTTTTCTGTTTATGGACTAGACTTTATTTAACCCCTTACTCTTGACATTGTACTGCTTTTTTTAAATTTTTTATCTTGTATTTATTGTTTTTACTTTAATGTACTGTAGATAATATATATATGTAAAAGGGTCTCTCTCTGTCTGTATCTCTTTCTGTCTGTCTCTCTCTCTCTTTCTGCAAAGCCCTCTAATAAAGTAAGAATTCAACGATATTGTAAAAATCAATATTTATTTGAAAGCAATATCATTTACTGCTATGGCTATTTACTGTGTATTTATTATTCCTATAGATGTTCCACTATTCGTCAGCGGTTAATCCTTTGATCATTACAGTTACACAAAACCGCTTGATCCACAATTACATATAAAGCCCGGGGGAAGTTGGGGTAGATAAATGAAACGAGGCGTCGTATCGTGTAAATTGTATTTACCTCATACCGTGCGCCGTCAACGCGCGTCCGACAAACGTCTTTACAATCGGCGGTTAGACAGTGGTGGCGGTCGCGTTGGTTTGGTCGGGTCGTCCGAACGTTCACCGGGCCGGGGGCGGGCGCGGGGGGCGTGGAATGTTGACGCCGCCCAACGGCCGGTGCGCGTGAACGTCCCAACGTGGAGGTAACCTTGTAGTCTTTGGTAGCGCGGGCCACGTGGCGGGACGCGGGTGGGGCCGGTGGCGACAGCAGGAGGGGGGGGGGGGGGGCAGTTTAATTACGAATTAACGGGGTTAATGGTCCGTCCCGCGCAGTGGACGCGCCTTGGCACTTGCGGAGGGTGTGATGGAGGCGCGGGGGTGCGAGGGAGAGGCGACACCCCTCTTGCTCGCACTTCCGAGCGACTCCATCCGGCTGGGGACTGTGTGAGCTCGGAGTGAGCGGCGGCTCGGCCCCGCCCTCGAACCGCTTCGTACGAACAACGCCATACCGACACCGCACTCGAGGACGATTCACACCGAGCGAGAGGCGTCAACGCACAAAGTATTCGGTGGATGCGCAAAACTTTTTATGCGCCCCTGAGCTTGTCTGATTGCCGCGGAAACGGGACGGCAATATACGCCCTCTCATTTCCGCGGCATTATGCGTACAGTCGCGGTAAATTTGCCATTTAGTTTTCAGAAAAAAAAAAAACATATTTTTTATAAATTTGGTAGTTTCATTTAGCAAAATCGGTCCTGTCACGCACCGAACTAGCGGGGCCGACTTAGCTCGGGTGCATTTAAGTTCCGCTCGGCCTGTATGTATTTAACTACTGAGTTTAACAACGCCTCTCGCTCAGTTCGAATCATGCTCATCGGGCATCGGAAACGACCGGCCATTGATTGCATTGGCGTGTGTAACTGGGCCCGGAATAGGTTGGCTCCGCGTATGATCTTCCCGATCCTAGCTGATCGGACACGAACTGGAGCGCCCTCGTGGTTTTAGCACCGAGAGTTGTGATGCTGTTTGTGGGTTTGTTTGTTGATAGAAGAAACTTTTTGACTAGATTCCCGTTGAAGATCACTGCGGGAGCCCAGTTACGGTCGTCTGGAATCGTCGAAGTCTAAATCGGCCGGAACGGACCGTGGGCCGCGCTTGTCTCCACTAAAAATACTAATACTGTCGAGTAGGCTATACAAAGTCACTTAAAGGCGAGAAGATTCAGCTCAACGCGTCGTCCTTCACGCTAAATTAATATACACGAAACATGTAAAAAAAAACGGTTATCGAAAAAAATACAGTTGTGATATCAGACATCCGTCACGGCTAACGCCATCTAGAGGTAATAACATTCTAATAGCGATGATACACGTGTGGCGATAAATTGTTAACTTAATAAATAATGATAAACTAGTTAATAAATAGAAGGAAGGCGTTTTATAATAACACAATAGTTCCTAGGTTATGAACACACCCTAACTACGATACGCTACGCCGATAGAAACGCTACGTAAGAACCGTTATATTTACAATATATTCGCTACATATGATAAAGATTCCACCAAATTAAAATCGGTTAGCTATACAATTACATATTTTATTTCGTTAACTATTGGGCTCTTTGTTGGGGCGACTGCGATTGAGGGATCCATCCGTTTGAACCACACGCATAGAGCACATTTTAGAAAATTGAGAAGCATTTCATTTAACATTATTCAATTTGAGGTTAGAAAACTTTAAGAGGTCAAGCTAGTCAGAAGAATATAGTGAAATGGATGGGTCCTTAATAATGGTCTGAACTGTGGATATATTAGTTCATTCCTCGTCATCAAAAGGGTCGATCCGTCATTCGCACGCGGCACCGCGAGCGCGGTTCTAAAAACGCTTTCAATATTCTTGTAAACGCTTAACAAAAATATACCTAGCTACGTTTTCAGTTGATGCAATTACAATGTAGTTTTTAATAAAATAGAAGATTACAAAACAATGTCGTTAACACTGTACACGAGACTAGTACTTGTGTGCGTCCGTCCGTCTGTTTGTTTGTTCGATATTTAATTATCTTCGAGCGGGTCGAAAGAGAATCGTTTCTCTGGAACCTTTGCTCGCGACTGTACTCGGCTAGATAGATCTCAATGCGAATTTATGTTAGGATACGGAATCTGTCGCTTGGAAAATGTTGCATTTTTGAAAAAAAGGACCATTCAATTTTGTCGGTTCAACACATTCGGTGGCTTTCGATTCTACACTCGATAGACAAACGGAGAGGCACACATTTATCTACATAAAGCTATATATACACACCTCGGCGAGGCACTTGGTGGACACGTGTCTGGGGATCGCCATTGCAGCGTAACTGTCTCGTCGAACGCTATCCGTCGGACGTCGCAATATCGACCTTAGTCCGTACACAATAGGATATATTTTCTAGTACACGCATTCCTGCGTAGAAACTGTCTCGTTGAACGCGATCCATCGAACATTCCAATAACGACCTTAGTACGTAGAGAATAAGATATATTTTAGAATACACGCATTCCTGCGTAGAAACTGTCTCGTCGAATGCGTTCCTTGCCAGTACAATATCGACCTTAGCCCGTACACAACAGGATATATATTCGAATACACGCTCAAAGCCCGCGGACGCCGCTCGGACGAGACAAACGATACGCTCGCTCGCGCACACTCAACATTGTATACATTAAAATATCTCAGTATCGTTAAACATTAGCGGATGATAAGAAAACTGCATTGGATTATTGAGTATAGATTAAACATCGTCCCCCGCTCGGATTTTGCGAGGGGGGGGGGGGGGGCGTTAGCACCGAAAGCCCACAGCGGAAGTAGACCTACACTAGTCAAGGTAGAGGGGCCAATAGACCGCAGTAGACGCTCAGCGAACAATAATATCGACGGGATATCCTTAAAAGCCGGTTACACGATTGCGGGGACAAACTAAACGGGACTTTCCCTACAGTAAGCGGAGGCTGAAACATCTTCGCTATGGGCTTTCGGGACTGCATCAACAGTGGGACCAAAATTTGGCATAGACACAGCGGACGGTCCATTCTGCGACTCGCGCCGAGGAGTATTCGTCGCAAATAGAAAACGTCTAGTCCGAGCTCCAAACCTTATACAATAATCAACTGGCATCTTAATTTATGTGTACACCGTAGTCTAACAGACGCGTCGCCCGCAGAATGAACGGTCCGTCTTACAAGTATTTAGTAGTAAGCGCGTGCCGCACTCGACGTGACTCGTTTGGATTCTTAACTTAATGGTCACGAATTTTCTACCACTCACTAAAGCGCACTGTCCCAAAGCAGATGGGACCGCTAATGCTAAACAAGTTTTAAGCTTTATATCTCGACAAGTAGCGATCTCATCATGTCATAACCACAAGCACGCACGAATCGCACGTATTACAAATACGAATAGCTTTATTTCATGGGCGCCTCAATAGAAGCATTCGCCTTTGAAACTTATCTTTTGATCAATCAAAAGTTAAAAAAAAGTCGTTGACTTAGATCATAAATATGAGCATACAATATTGTAAAACATATAACACAAGGAATATTGTCCATCGGTCTGCTAATATGAATAATACGAATTGCGTTTCACATTTGTGACATGGCAATCGCAAAACCTTTGTTCAGTGTAAGCGATGCGTAATACATTTTTTTTCTTTCATAAGCCATTGACATACAACAAAGGTTATAGAATCGCAGCGGTAACACGTCGAGCGCGGCGCGTGTCGCCACAAATGGACACAACACCGAATCAGCGTTAATAATAGTAACAATATATATCAAAACATCCCGTTACACGTTTAAGTACACATTAAGAGCTACATCGGGTGAGCGCTTCCGCGCCCCTTCGCACCGTTTGCACGAAGCGCATGGGAGGTGTATGGGGGAGCGGGCGGTTCGTCAAGTAGCCGGGTGTCTAAAGCGCGTCCGTCGGGTGGTCGAGCGGCGCCTAGTCGATGGCGTGGTGTCAGGAGGCGGGCGGGTGCGGGTGCGGGTGCTGGTGGGGGGGGGGGGGGGGGGGGGGGGGGGGCGGGGGCGCGCGCGCTGCGCTCCGTGCCGGCCGCCAGCAGGGCCGCGAACTCCAGCTCCAGCACCTGCCGCGCCTGGGGGCGGACGGGCCGAATGGTTGATATTTTTATATGTACATTATTTCTCATGTTACAGTGTTATGTCGGGTTCGTACCCACTAAAACCCGGGTCTATGTTTTTCCAGGGTTCCGAGATATGCACCGGTGTCCCTCTGCATAGCGCAAAGACGCGTCGTAGAAGGATAAACCTTCCTCAATTCCCTCACCATCTTGCAACAGCTTGAGTCGATTTCGTACTGCTGCCAGTCAGTATCCTCTTAAAGTCACCTTTTACGACAGGCAGGGGATACCTTAGCCCTATTCTATGAGACAGTGACTACAGGACTGACATGTACACATCAGAGACGTTCCGGCTCCGGTTAACTCATTTACCAGACACAACCGTATAACGCATTCACTTCACGCCAGTCTTCTGTGAGGTCGCGGTACTTCCCCGGACGAGCCTGCCCATTCGTGCAACAGCAAAAGCTGTTGCGTGATCCTGCAGTACATCTGTCATCGGTTTAGAACGATCTGTACTGACTCTATGCAGAATGCAGATTATTCAAAGTCAAGTCAAAATTTCGAAACAAGCACGCATCCTCACATTACGCACAACGTCGCGTATACAGGGTGATTTTTAGACGAAGTACATACTTTGACATAATGTTTATTGAGCATTCCATATTTAAAAAAAAAATATTAATATTTTATTTTGACAATAAATAACCAGAAAAATATCAGTTCAAAAATTGTTTGTGTATCCCGTTAAGAGTGGTCACTTGGTTTAGTAATTATGCGTTCAGCGAAAAGTTTTAGTGCTCGTGAATAGGTTATTGTATTGAGACGGTAAGGCAGGAGTTGGTTGAGGAGGAGGTGTCCATAATGTTTGAAAAAAATTAATAATAATCTTTGCAAAAAAAAAAAAAAAATAGGTCACAAGTACGTACCAGATTCGGATTTAGAATGATTTTTTTTTTTAAATTCAAAACTGGCCAGCACTTGACTGCCATGCCACCTGATGGTAAGTGGCGATGCAGCCGTTGATGGTAAGCACGCTAGCTCAGTGAAAACCTATTCATTCTTGCCTTGAAGACGCCCACGTTGTAATCGGACGGAAAGACGGAAGCCGTGTATAAAATCACCCTGTATAAGCGTACATTCTCGCCACGTGTCACGCACCTGCGTGTTCTGCGTGGGGATCTGCAGCGCGAGCGCCATGCTGTTGGCGTCGAAGCTGTCGTCGAGCGCGATGAGCGCGCCGTGCACGCCGCTCTCCGACAGGTTGCTCGCGAACTCCTGTAGCGTTCCAAGAGGAAACAACGTGACGGCTTCTCTCGTGCGGTGTTTCTGTTCAAAGTCATTGCTGAAGCATACCGCTTCACAATATAAGCTGTGATAGCTCAGTGTACGGGCGCTCGCCTTCAATTCAATATATTCGAGCAACCTGAGTTCGATCCCCGGTGCCGTTTAAGTGCTGTCTTATCACGTGCTCCGCGGTGAAGGAACACATCGTGAGGAAACGTGCATATTTTCGAAATAATAACAAAAAAATATATTTCGAACATATGTGAAGTCCGCCAATCCGCAGTGGGGCCGCGTGGTGGACTATGCCCTGATACCCTCTGTATAGAGGAGGCCTTTGCCCAGCAGTGGGACATTTATAGGCTGTTACCTTACTTTACTTCTTTACCGCTTCATTTGACCCTCCGCCTTTTACCATTGAAAGATGGATTAGCGTGAGGGCATTGTATCGTATTTTGTGTGGAATACGTTTGGTAGTAAGTCAACGACCTTGAAAGATCTTTGCAGTCTTCCCTTCGAAAATAGTGGCACATTACTTTAGGATAACATTATCCCGTGCTGTGAGGACGCTTCATGCAAATAGTTGTCTCATGTGGGAATCGACCCACGACCCCCGGCGCCGAGGCCAATACTTTGGCATCTGCGCCACGGAGTTACCAAAAATTTAATTACACTATTTTATTTCTACCTCCGCCTTCAACTATTGAAAAGCTTGAGCCCTATTGGAAAGCACTATCGAAAGGTATAGTACTCTTAGCATGACAACATGAGTCTCCTCAATCGTATTGTTGGACATTTCCAAAACTAGAATGAATAGTCATTTGACTCTAATTGTTCCTACGCTCCAGATAGCAGGCGTTGTGCATACCGTTGTTAGTCACGCCAGTCGGGGTTGGGTTTGAATCCACCGTTCGAGTTGGTCCTTCGCGCCGGATGCGGTAAGTTAGTGACGCAGGTCAGCGAGTAATATTTGTCCACCGTTCAAGTTGGTCCTTCGTGCCGGATGCGAGGAGACGTTCGAGCGCTCACCTTGAGGTTGATGGCCACCAGCCAGCGCTGCAGCCGCTCGTTGGTCCAGACCAGCACGTCGCGCGCGCAGTGTTCCGCCGCCCGGCGCCGCTCCTCCAGCGCGCGCACCGAGTAGCCCACCCGCTTCAGGCACGCCACGCCGAAGTGCAGCGACGTCCTGGGGGAGGTAAATAGCAAATATATATACATTACATATAACTGGTAGGGTTACGCTACAGTCTTCGCTGTTGCACGAACGGACAGGTCTCTCCAGGTAAGTACAAAGATCTCGCAGAGGACCGGTAAGTGAAGTGGGAAGTGTTATACTTCTGCGTTAGAGAAAATGGCCTTCACGGTGTTGTCTCTTCGGTTACATCTATGCACGGTTGAGGCTTCTTTCTTTTGTTACGTTAAAAGTTGGCAAGCGACCAGGCATTTCACCCGTTGTTCAGTGATTACAACCGCCCATGGATATCCACAACAGCTTTCTATCTCGTAGTGGGCGCCGGTTACCTCGCTCATCAGAAGAAACTAAGGTCTAATACTTCCATATCAAATTCTTATGTGAGGCTTTGGTACTTCCCCTGACAAGCCTACCCGTTCGTGCACTACTTCGTGGCCTTACCATAGTATTCAAACTTTTTACGTGCAAACATGGTGTTCTGTCACATTTAAATAGGCTTTATAAAATTATAACGTCAGTTATTTCTATGCATTTTAAAATCTGTCTGCCACGTAATCGATATATTATTATAAGAAACAACGATAATTCATTTTTATACATATACCTGTGAAAACTGTCCACCATTTTAAGCTGCGTCCTGAGATCCCTTTTCGTTAGATGCTCCAACATTCTCGCGTCCACCAGACACTCCATAAAAGTCGTTCTGTACTGAGGCAAACCTGTAAGATGTTATTAATGCATGTGATTCTCAATTGAAAGTCCAAACTTCTTTTCCTAATTACTTCTACATTTAAAAGAGAAAAATCTATTTATTTTTGTGTGATAAGTTGGCAAGCGAGCTGGTGCGACCTTATATAAGTGATAATCGTCGCCCATGGACATTTGCAACCTAAGTACGGTTGCAGATGCGTTACCACATTCCGTATCCGGGCGGACCTGCCCATTCGTGCGACAGCGAAGACTGTAGCGTGACCCTACCACAGTGAAAATAAATACTGAAATCAATCAATCATCGTACGACCGATAAAGTGTCTAAGTTCACGCTAGTGTGAAATCAATACTGCATTTAATTGTTGATCAGCATATCATGAAAGGTTGCAAACGAGCAAGGCGGTTCACCTAATGTTAAGTGAATACCGCTTCCCATGGACATCTGCTACACCCGAGGGTTCCAGATGCGGTGACAAGCTTTTGAAGATCGGGTGAAGTGTGAGCATGTGTGCGCGTCAGCCTACCTAGCGAGGGTAGCCAGACGTTGCCGATCCACTCGTGGTTCATGTCGCCGAAGGCCAGGGCCGCGCAGGCGGTGCCCCGGGGCGCCGAAGGCGACGTCAGGGAGACCATCTCCTGGATGGCCAGCCGCAGCTTCAGCCGGTGCAGCGGGTTGCTGATGCCTGGCCCAAGGAGAGAACGACAGCGTCAGCGACACCACATTGATTGCAACTGTGCGATTGCTGGATATTTAACAATTTTGTATACTTTTATTTGTGGTGTACAATAAAAGATTTCATTGATTCATTCGTTTTGCTCGATAAGCAGGATGAGTCGAGAATACCATTAGCCATTGCTATTCATCTACTTAAAAACAAGTGTCAGTTTTTTTGTGAATCCCAATTGAAGATATACGATAAATCCGTTTGCACTTCGACGCTTCACCAACTAAAGCTGAATGGCCATTCTGTCAATTGCAATTTTAGTAATGCAACTTGCAACACTTTACACAGGACATTCATTGATAACTATTTGTAATGAGTGATGTCGTCTTTGCGAAAAAAAAAAAAAAAAAACGAACAACAACATCCCTAATAATATCATAAATGTAAGTTTGTTTGTTACTTATTGATTATCATGAAACTTTGTACACATATTCTCAGAGGTATTAAAAAGAACATAGAAATCGTATGAGCATTCACGTCAAAACGCATTTCAATTGAATATAAAAGGTAGATCCGGTCCGAAGGACCAAGAACTGAGCGCGCACTGACCGATCTCGCGCTGGATCTCCTGGTCGGAGAGCGCCGACATGATGGCGCCCGACTTGACGTTGGCGCGGCAGGCCGCCACGTACCAGGCCGGCATGCCCACCCACAGCTCCAGCCACGCCACCACCGTGGGCCCGTTCCACAGCGCGAACGGCGTGCCGGCGCGCATCGCCTCGCCCAGCAGCTCGTGCCGGTAGTCGCGCTCCCTGCGTACAGTGGGCTAACTCAACCCACACGAGTCAACATCCGCCACACCCGTGGGGTTGCAAGTGATCACAAGCCGGACGAAAGGCAGAAGTGCATCGTGCTACTTTCCCGGACGGACCTGCCCGTTCGTGCAATAGACGAAGCTATCACAGTATTTCATTTAAATTTAAACCAACTTTATTGAATATGTGTAGCCTGTTTTAGTGCAACGCTGGATTAAGGCTTTCCCAACAGCACCAGAATCCATCGATGGTACTCTGTGGCACGTTTTCGTAATTCAAACGGGCCGTATGCCGTGGCGATCCGCTCGTTCGCCACCTCGTCTTATGAAGAACGAACCAACTTTCCAACGTCTGGACTAGGCAGGCGATAGGCGAGGCACTGACTTGGTCTTGGAGCGCGCGTAGTCCTGCTGCAACGGCTGCGGATGCTGCTGCTGCGATGGCAGGGGGTGGCCGCCGTCCGAGAGCTCGTCAGCACCGCCAAGTCCCGCCAGACCCAACGAGGAAGCGGACGACATGGAGCGAGGGCTGGTGCCCTGGGAAAGCTGTGGAGAACAAAGCGTGGAAATTGATTTTCTCCTGGGCTGAATGCCATGCGTGATTCCACCCCTCCATTTCTCTCCCCAATTCTGGAAGATTCGCTGGCGCAGTTGCTAAGCTATTGTGGCATACACGCGCTTCCCGCTTATACAATGAATATGTTGAGAAGAGTTCGGACATTGATATCCACTTCGACAGAGCATCGCATACTTTTATTGTAAAAATGAAAAATATCGACTTACCTTTATCGCAATATCGCGATTGACCTTTGTTAGCCTCATTTTCAACTGTACCTTACGTTAGTAATCCAATAAATAAATAAATAAGCAGCTTCACTGACTCACCGGCAGTCCGGCCTTGTCCTTCTTGCTGAAGAACCTGCCCAGTGAGCTCTTGATGCCCCTCTTCTTCTGCTGGTGCATCGTGGCGATGGATACGGCGGAAGCGGTGGTACGCGGCATGGAGGGGGATGCCCCACCGCCAGATGCGCCCCCACTAACCCAGCCCACAGTGCCCAGCGACAGCGACTCCTGGCTCGAGCTGGTAGCAGCAGACACCACACATCAGCTTATTTGTAGACTTTTTCTCTTCATTGGAAAATAGAAGAAGAAAAAAGAGGAAAAAAGATTGATGTCTCTTCGTTACAACATAGCAAACTCTACCGTTGCGTGATATAACAGAAATTGGCAACGCATAACGTTTCTATTTTGGCATATTTTGTCTCATGATCAACTAATCCTATGAAGGCTCGACATTTAAAAACTGCATTACACATATTTACAGAAGTAACTGTATCAGCGAATTTTATATTGAATATTGATAGATTTGAAAATTTATCACATTTTGCACAACAAACTTGATTTTATATTATTTTAACACAAGTTAAAAAAATGCTTACAAACAGAGGAGAATTGGTTCAAAAACCTCTTTTAGCAGAACAAAAGCATGCCTCTGTAGGCGATGAGCGTGAAAATGAAAGTGTTTAAGAGAAATGTAGCTGTAACTTGAAAAACTCACATTCAGCTTATAATACGGATTTTAATAAAAGTGGAATTTATAAAAGACGATAGAAACTTAAGACAAATAAAGATGATCAAAGATTTGATGATCTAAGCCATATACTAAATCACTCTTAAAATGTGATGGGGAAATATGAAACTAATAACAACTATGAAAAAAACAGTAATAGTTTATGGCTGACATTTTCAAAAAGCTTACAAGACAAGCCTGACGCTCATACTTAAGAATGTAACATCTGATGTTAGTCGAACTAACGCTCCAAAATATTAATTCGCCGATGTCATCTAAAACGTAAGAATCAAATGGAATTACTATGGAAGGACTAGCCTGTTTCAATGATTACTACGGGACCACACGATAACATGAAACCAACATACCGTGTTACAGGAAAATGTCCTTTAACCCCTAGCAGGAAAGTACATTTACATATACACACATAGTAATTCCATTTCGTTTATTTTAATATTAATACAGTCGATACATTTGATGTGGCTTCGATTAATATTCAAAATAAAGTAATACTACTGTACGGTTAAACATTGTCATAAACATTTTCTTACTATAAAGTTTATTTATTTTAACAGTACTAAATATACAAATGATTTGATCTAGTGATCCTATGACTTCATCTTATTTTCGACAAGATGATTATTCATCATAATAATTATTAAAAAAATACCTTCACATTTATCTTGCATAATTTAAAATTCAATAGAGTTGACAACTCACTCAATACTTAAGGTTTATACAAATATAGTTTCTCTTAATAAACTTCTAAGATATAGAGACGGTGTTGAAGTTAAAAGTAACTGGCCGTTTTGCAAGTAAAGGGATGATGAAATAAGTAGGGGTCGATAGTACTGTACAGTTTCGACTTTAAGCACAGTCTGTGCGGGGCGTAGCTCAATTGGGTGTCGGCACAGTCGCACCACATACGGGACAAGTTAATTTCCGACCGACAGATGGATCTCGCGCGCTTAGTTCTAGGTCTTAGGCTAGGGTTTGATGAACACCTGTGTATCGGGATCCTGGCGAGGCTGCCCGACATTATCGAGGTCCTGGGGCGGCGTGGGAGATAAATGTTTTCAATGATTAAAATTATTGAAAATATCCTTTAACAATTCAACATCAAAATCGATATCCAATTCCTTTAACTGTTTATAAATCAGAGCATACGACTGAAGATCTGCAAGCCCTCGGGCGTTGTAGATATCGCGGAATTCACTTAACATCATGTTAATCGCCTGCTAGATTGACAAATTTTCACATAAATAATAAATTGTTACAATCATCGCATGAACTACATTAAAATATCCGGCACGAAGGACCAGTAATAAACATTTTAGGACGTATTTTAAATAACGTTCCTTAATTTAAAGCACAGCTTTTAATTATGGATACTAGGTAACTGATAAACACACATGAACACATTCATGAACATATTCTCTTGTAAATAAATACATATTATACATACAAACCCAGACACTACAAAAACACAAATTTAATTATTACTAACTTAATATTTTTCCAGCGGCGGGGATCGAACCAACACCCTCTGACGCAGGACAAAAGTCCACTATCCTAATATTTTTACTCTTTGTTATGTTTTCTGCTCGGACTCACGAGTCGTATGGAGTAGGGTAGTGCGTGCGCAGGCGGTCACGCTCGGCGTGGAGCGCCCTCGCGGCCCGTTCCAGGCGAAGCGAGCGCGCCGTCAGCGGCGACGCCCCCCCCTCCGCACCGCTGCCCACGCCCACGCCCACGCCGCTCTCCTCGCACAGCTGCAGCTGCACACCGATTCTCAATCGAAACGCGTCCTCCAGCTTCAAGGTCGCCCAAGGTCAGGCGAAACGCGTCCCCCCGCTTCAAGGTCGCGCAAGGTCGAGGCGTTCGCAACGGTAGGGTTGCGATTGACGGCCGGTTTTAATAATCTATCTACGGATACATTTGGCTGGAGATATGAGTTTTGACCAAAGTCTTATGGAGCTAATGTCAAATACCTATAGCCAGTAGTCAAACCTATCTGTAGACAGAATATTGAAACCGGCCGTAAGTCATTTATACACTTGGAATATGGTAGATAGCAGTGCTGTTAGTGAAAGAATAATATTAAAGCTGCGACCAATAAGTTAGTAGAAAATGTTGGAGAAATGTTAATAAGTGTATGTTAAAATTGAATTTTTTTATTGAATTACTTTGGAAATGAATACGAAAATATGAATAATTCAAGATAAAAAATTGGTTGCTTATCCATATTATTACAACTACCACTGTACACAGTTTATTGCAAAATCGTAAGGTAATACCGGCCCAAATATAAAATCTTTTTGCTATGGAATTCGAAAAATCATGTTACACTTCTCCAATAAAAACATTAAATTTAGCTGGTTTTCCTTTTATATTTGGGTATAAAAAAATTTAATAACATCATGTAAATATTTTTTCTTCACTAGATATACGATAGACATTAATATCAAAAATATAATTCAACTCTATACTTATCAAAGAGAAACCGTTTCATCTAACTACAATCCAGAAAGCGGTGCTACGGGAAAGAGTTATTTTTACCAGTATTTTCAGATAATAGTGCCAATCCGTGCGGTTCTTCTACTGTTTATACAAAAAGCCATAAAACTTAAGATACACCTAAAAATATTCTTAATATCATACATTTTACTTAATATGTTTTTAATTCGGATTTCCACAAGGGCCATATCTATGACCACTCTTTTATACAATCTACATAACCTATTCGAATGTTACAAATTAAAACAGACTCAATATAAACATTCGCCCTTTACGTCTAATTCGTTCAGTACATAAAAATCAAAACAGAAACTCGATCTACGGAGCCAATTCACGAAATAATAAAAGCGTTCTGTTTTAGTGTAGTGTCATCGCAAAAACATAAGCCACGCAAACACTGCAACTGGGTGGGGGATTGTTACTTTTCACAGAATCGAAGCATTCGCTTGACGTGTCATGCTGGATCAGGCTTGCCATTAGTAACGAGGGGCTGCCTTGCATTGGCCGAATGTCGACAACCGTTAATACAGCCTCGAAAATAAATCTAATTAAGAGTATCTCTTTTGTGATCTTGCGTTTATAATAATACTTCTTTCCATATCTCATATACCATAATAGCCTATCATAATATTCAAGTTCTACTTGTAAATCGAAGTATTTTATTAACAGTTGTCAACCTAGACTGCACACGAGTGAACAAAGCGGCGTTGCAACTTGAGAGGGTGGGGGCAAAGGCAAGGCGTCAATCCGGGGGAGGCTCCGATGCACGGGCGTGGGGGTGTGAAGTGGAAATTGGGGTTTGTGGAAGGGGGGATGTGGAAGGAGGGATGCGGAAGCGCGCTTGTGATGGGGAGTGGATGTGGTTGGGGGTAAAATGAAGGGGGTAGTAGAGGAAGTGGCAGGGGGAGGTGGTAGGGGGGGAGGATGCCACCGACCTGACTAGAGGGGAGGCTCTCGGAGGAGGGCGGCGCGCGGTAGTGGTGCGCCGGCGACATCGAGGCCGGCGCCTACCGACACCAACACCACATCATTTAACGCCATCATAATGAGATCCTTTGCAATTTTTGTAATAAAACTACACTTCGCGGATTTCATATTGGTTGACATTTCAGCGGCATAAAAGGTCAAGAGACATGCTGAGGTGTTCGATGTCCTAATGTCGCTGGCATACAGCGTGACATATTTTCAGTGTGATCGGAAGCGAAGAAAAAAAACTCGAAATTTTTCAATTGAAATGAAAAAAATAATAATCGGGATTAAAGGACCAACTCCTTGTATTTTAACTTATAAATATAAATAAAATCTTTAAACTTAAGTTTTAACTAGATAATCTTGACTTAATCTCTTTTCGATGGCTTTGGATCGATGTTTCTAAACCACATTTTATATATTTATTTATATTTTGCACTAAATTTAATTATGTATGATAAATGTATGTGCACAAGCTATACAGCTATATATACTATTATAATATCCGTAATTTCTGACTAATGTTTTTATTAAAGTTTAAATTTACTATGTACACATTTGGCCATAATTTTTCTATGTAAATGTTATTTTTAACTGTTATACATTAAAACTAAGTAAGGATTATAATTATATAATAGTATGTCATAGATAGGAATAGAGAGCTGAGTACTTTTTTTATTGTTTCTATCTAGAAAGTAATTGTTTCGTAGTATATAATAAACGTCGACTAACAAGTCGATTAAAGATTGTGTTTGAGGCAGGTAATGTGTTTTAAAATTAAGAATGCATTTTTCTTCACAATTCTTTTGATTTTTCTGGGTTTCACACAACTGTAATATAGGTGTAATTGCCAAGATTCTAACTAAGTCAGAGATAGCGAGATTGTGTGTGGTTTATGATCTATAACTTTGTGACTATACGGCAGTGTCGTTTGTCTGTGTTTTGCACCGCACGTCCACGTGCGCGGTGGTGGTGGTGGTGGTGGTGTGGCTTCACTGACCGTGTGGTACTTGTGGTGGTGGGGCCGCGAGGGCGAGGCGGCCGGCGGCGGGGAGTCCCCGCGCCGGGACACCACGTTCATGTGCTCGTAGCTGCCCACCTGCGCCGCCACCACACGCTCCCGTCACCACAAAGCTCAACGGTCGCACCGTCACCGTTGCGTCGTTACCATAGTTAGACATATGATTTGTGGCAAGCGAGTTGGCGCCCATGGACATTTGCCACACCCGCAGGGTTGCAAATGCGTTGCCACTTTTAAGTAAAGTGGGCCCCGGCTACCTCACTCATCAGACAAAACGTAGAAGTGTAACGTCCACTTTACGCCGGTCTTTTGTGAGGTAGTGGTATTTACCCGGACGGATCTGCTCATTTGAGCAACAGTGAATACTGCTGCGTAGCCCTATCACTGTTTAAATTTACGATGATTCAGAAGATTAAGTTTCTAATATCTATGGTTTTAAAACATACTTTACTATTATAGATGATGTGTTACTTTGAAGGTTTCACGGAATTAATTGTTAATTGGTAACGACGCAACTTTATGATTAGCAATTCACATGTACCGATATAATTAAAACTATATTAAACTCGATTCGAAGTCGTTGTTAAAGGTATACCCATCACCTTGGAATATTGGCAAAGTGCGGTTAAAGCAGTGTTCACATATTCTTACTCGAGTATTAACTTATCATAGTTTACTTTTTCAATATAATAATATATCCAAATTAGACGAAGAAGACGATAGATTGGGGCACAAAGCGCCGCCGCAAGGGGACAAGCTCACCCTGGACTCGAGCTCCTCCGCCCTGGCCTCGGTGGTCTGCTTCTCCTCCTGGATGAGGCGGATCTCGGTGTTGATGGCGTCCAGCTGCTCCTGCAGCATCAGCGCCAGCGCCGCCGCGTCCGTGTGCCCGCCCTCCACGCCGCCGTCCGACTCCTCGTTCTGTTGCGGTCCGATCACTCATCACTCATCACTCATCACTCACCACTCATCACTCACCTTGCCCATTACACATTACACATTACCGACCTCTACTTTTAGCATGGCGCCATCTACCGGATACTTACTCAATCCAGCCGATAAATTTACTTATTAATTATTTAATTATTTAATTAATTTATTAATTAACAAAAAAATTGCAATAAAAAATATTGAGATCAACAATTACGATATAAACTAATCTATCGACCAAGTTGGACCAAATGGTTCAGTAGTTTCGAAGTTTATCACGAACATACATCGTGACACGAAATTTTTTTTAGAAACATTTAACTTGGGAGCGATCATCTCATTCCCGAGGCTGATTATCATTTATATAATAATTATATAATATAATAACCCTTTTCGAAAATTGTATCTTTTATAAATTTCTTAAACCTGTTAATAGGCAGGCTTTGCGCATGAACCATGAACGAGTTACTTGCTCTATGGAGTCTAGTAACTGGCGTTACAAGTTTGTGTTTGTATCACCACCTATTTTACTCTTTTTTATATTTATAAAAAACGCACAACCCTTACGTAGAATAACATTATCCCGTTTAAGGAAGATTTAGATACGTGAATTTCACGTGGATCAATATCTAATATACTTCTATTACACTTGCAGTTAAATAGCGACAGAATGTGTTACACGTGTGTCGACAAGCGGTATTTAACTGTCTTTTACTTTAAAAAACTCTGTTCACAGCGCCATTAATGCGCACGGTAATCACGAGTACTCATATCATAGCGTGCCAAAGACCCGATTCCTATAAATCATCTATGCGACGTTCGCGTCATGTCAATCGATATACCGTGAAGCCATGTGAAGCCCCGTGAAGTCACGTGAAGTCACGTGAAGTCACGTGAAGTCACGTGAAGCCGCGTGAAGTCAATCAACGCTACGATGGACCTACCTCGGCGTCGCTGGTGACGTCATACTGCGGCCCCACCCCGGCCAGCACGTGCGCCTGCTGCAGCTTCTCCCACGAGCCGTCCAGCTGGGGAACAAAGTCTCTCAAATTTCAAATATAGAATGTATACAACTCTCTCTCTCTCTCTCTTATTATCTCTATAAGTTCTCTTCTGAGATACGGAAAGTGGATGAACGAAAACAGCACAAGATATGTGCCGGGCGCCTTCTCGACCACTTAGGGTGGGAGATTCTAAACGCACAAGTATAAATACCGTGGTATTTTCCGTTCCAAGTGTCTTGCACGAGCGGTAGTTGTTAGCGAGATGGTTTTACTTTACCAAAGTAAAGTAACATTAACGAAGGAAAAAAGAGGACAGTCTGATAGTGAGTAATCGCAATGAGCCAGACTAAATTCATCACACCTTGGGACACACAAGGTACACCCGCGTTCCGGGGCGGTTCTCACCGCTCCCAGCCACCGATTATCTAATCGCACATTCGACGGCCATCGGGGTTTCGGTCCGAACCACGACCTCGATGGCCCTTAGATGACACACCATAGTTAAACGCACGCATGAGCACATGCGTGGCCCTACCCGCAGCGGAGGGCCCAAACCCGTGGGTTATGGCTAGCCCACCGGTTCCGCGTCCGATGAAGCTTTAATAGTCTCGGGAGTGAAAGCAAAAACATCAGTTAACACAAGATACAAGAACACACCTTGGGCGGGTAGAGGGGCACCCCCGGCTGCGGCGCGCCCGGCGAGAGGGAGCGCGTGAGGGCGTCCGTCTGCTGGATGTTGAACGCTATCTCCTGCTGCAGCATCTGCCGCTTCAGCTGTAACATACACACTGTCATGATTCAATCCTAATCTAATTCTGCCTATTCCGCTCTCTGTTTCTTTCTCCCCTTCAATCTAATTCACCTTACATTGATGTTCAATAAGCATAGATTCTTCACCAAACGATAAAAGATGCTGGGCGCGGTAAACACACCCACCCGATGACACGGAATTAATAAACAGTCCTTGCTGTACTTATCGATAGGCTAACGTGAGACGTTCAAAGTAACAAGTCTATTCATGTCCCACTGCTGGGCAAGGGCCTTCTCTGTTCAGAGAGCGCCAGGGGATGGTTTACGACGCGGCCCCCATGCGGATTGGTGGACTTCAGATATTTTCGAAAACTTTAAAATAAGCCGGAGTGTTTTCTCGAGTATACGTGTCAGGTACAGTCAGCGTCATGTGTCCGTAACCGTTAGTATGTCGAAGGGAGGTACAGTCCGGGCGCACCTGCTCCGTCTCCATGCGCCACTTGGCGAGCTCCTTGAGGATCTCCTGCTTCTCCGCCAGCAGCTCGTCGGCGTACTTCCTCGTCTTCTCCAGCTCTTGGGTCAGGGCGTTCTTCTCGTCCAGTGCGTGCATGCGCTCCTTCAAGTGGACTTGAAGCCTGAAATTTGTGTCACATTTGAATAAAATATCGAATGTTCGAATTTATTTTTCAGTCTCTCGCATCCAAGACCATAATTTAAATTGTAAATTTTAGAAGAATCAAAAAGTTTTGGCGCTGACGTGACTTGAACATTTTAATCTTGACATCCAACCAACGTGGATACTTTATATTGCATTTTTAGCAATGCTTCGCGCCATCTGGTGTGCAAGCGTTTGTGTGTACGCACGCACACGCACGCACGCACATGCACACGCATGCCGCTCACCTCTCGTTGGACTCGGAGAGCAGCTCGTCATCTACGACCTTATTTTACACACGCACGCACACACGCACAGAGACACGCACACGCACACGCGCACGCGCACGCGCCTCACCTCTCGTTCGACTCGGAGAGCACCTCGTCATCTACGACCTTATTTACACACGCACGCACACACGCACAGAGACACGCACACGCACACGCGCACGCGCACGCGCCTCACCTCTCGTTCGACTCGGAGAGCACCTCGTCATCTACGACCTTATTTTACACACGCACGCACACACGCACAGAGACACGCACACGCACACGCGCACGCGCACGCGCCTCACCTCTCGTTCGACTCGGAGAGCACCTCGTCATCTACGACCTTATTTTACACACGCACGCACACACGCACAGAGACACGCACACGCGCCTCACCTCTCGTTCGACTCGGAGAGCAGCTTGTCGACGGTGGCCGAGAGGCGGGTGTTGTGCTCCTCGTTCATGCGCAGCCTCTGGTTGAGCCTCATCAGCTCGGCGTTCTTCTCCTCCACGCTCGCCTCCAGCCTCTGGATCCTGTCCTCGGCGGAGCCGTGCCTCTCCTGCGCCTGCGATGCGAACGGAACTTGTTTATCTAAAGTCACAGAGTGATTCGCGCACGAAGGGTTCCCTACCGTCATCTATAAAAACGGCACAAAGTAATGTATATATATATATATATATAATATTTATATGTTATAGTATGTATTTCTTGTTATAGCGGCAACAGAAATACATCATCTGTGAACATTTCAACTGTTTAACTGTCACAGTTCATGACATACAACCTGGTGACAGACGGACAGACGGATAGACAGACAGGCAGCGAAGTCTTAGCAATAGGGTCCCGTTGGTTACGGTTGGTCCCCCTCCTTGGGTACGGAACACTAATATGAACAACCTATAATGGGCCCTACTGGGCAAAGACCTCCTCTGTAGAGAGGGTATTAGGGCATATTACACCACGCGTCCCCACTGCGGATTGGCGGACTTCTTCGAAAAATTTTTTTGTTATTATTTGCGAAAATATGCAGGTTTCCTCACGATTGTTAATTTCACCGCTGAGCGCGTGATAAGTCAGCACTTGAAATTGACAATTTCATTGGTGCCGGCACCGCGGATCGAACTCAGGTTGCTCGAATATATTGAATTAAAAGCGAGCGCCCCGACACTGAGCTATCGCGGCTCTCAATATCCAACTATTAGCCAACTGTGGTGTTCGCGAATGGGCAGGTCCGGCCGGGGAAGTAGCACGACCTCGCAGAAGACCGGCGCGAAGTGGAAGAGTACCACCCACTTCTGCGTTTCGTCTGGTGAGTATGGTAGCCGGGGCCCACTTATTTAAGAGGTGGCAACGCATCTGCAACCCTAAGGGTGTTGCAATTGTCCATGGGCGGCTGTTATCACTCACGTAACATAAATATCACGTCTCATATAAAAAATATCACTCTATGTGCTATATGATATAGTAAGCTAAATGTTAAGACGAGAGAAATGAATTGGCTTTTGCAGTCGGAAGGTTAAAGGGTGTATATGAGGCGAAAGGTGTTTACCTAGTGCGTGCTGAGCCTGTCTGACTACCTCGCTAGCTAGGTGAGGTATGAGGATGTATTGTGTGGCGAAAAACGTAACGTAAAATATTCACATTAATTAATTTACTTTTTTTATGAGGATAGCACTCCTTCATGAATTATTTTTAAATTATTATTATACAGCGTAAATAAGAGCATCATTGTGCGTTTTATCAACTTAACCCAGAACCCGCAAACAAAGAAAATCACGCAAAGAAAAATGGCCAATGGAAAATGAGCTTTAACATAACGCAATAGGATTCACTGTCGCATGCCGGGAAAGCGAAAAACGATGCTCAGTACCTGATTGAGCGCTTCCATCCTGGCCTTGAGCTGCTCCTCCATCTCCGGCAGCGAGGACATCTGCGCCAGCTTCTGCGTCGACAGCTCCAGCTTCTCCTCAATAGCGGCTATCTTCTCTTCTTGGAGCTGTCGGGGGGGAAATTATTTACATGTGTCATGTATGTCGCGTGATGTGGTATCAGATGGTCGGGTGTCGCGAGAGAACCATGTCGACTATTTCCGCTTCCCTCTAAAGCTTAAGCCTGGAGTGGTACTAAGCTAACTAGTTGATGGTTCGTTGTCAAATCACTGGTAAGTATGACCCAAGGGTCCCGAATGATCCTAATCTCTCTGGCGCGGTTCGGGATTCGAACGGTGTACCTTCAGTTGAGCCTGCTTGTGCTGCAACTCCTGCTCCAGTTTCTCGTTGAGGTCGTGCAGGGAGGTGGACTCGCGCTGCGCGTTGAGATACCGCTTCTCGAGGGTCGTGATCCTCTCCTCCTGGTGGGGAATTAATGGTTCACGTGAATTGGTTGCGCTGTACACAAACTGTTTTAAATGGTCCATGACCACATTCATGTCTATCGTAATATAACGACACTTTATCGTGTATATGACTTTTTTAAAGGTCGTGCTACCACTACGTTATATTGTCTCTAAAACTTGAACATATACACAAAAGACGGTAGACGCGGCATGCAAGCTGTACTATATCAACTAAAAAGTGTATATCACCGTGAAATTTATGTATTTACAATTGAAAGTTTATAAGGTCCGTCTCGAAGGACCAAGTTTTATCGTTCAGTAATTCCGTTATGGTGATTATTAATGCAGCCATTGTTTGAATACAAATAGAAATCGGCCTTAAACTGCTTGACTTAACCATTGGAACAGACCTGATCCTCCTTTTGCGCTACATTCTCCCTGAGGTCACGCTGCAATTTGGCACACTCCTCCTGTTTCTTGACCAGCTCCTTCTCGCCCTTGGAAAGCCTCTCCTCTAGCTCCGAGACCTTGTTGTTCAGCTCGGCCACACGCCGTTGCCAAGAGCTCAGTTCCGCCGACTGGAGAGTGACAAGTGACTGTTTTTATATCGAATTAGTGGTGTGAATATAAATAGTTTAAGGCATTCTTAAAATGGTTCATATTATTTAAAGATCAGGATTTGTCATATATTGAGGCATTACATATCGGCCGATTAGCTTAGTTGAAAAGCGTCTGGGCGCGAAACCAGAAGACGCGGGTTCGAATTCCGCAGCGCCGAAAGTTTTTGTTGATTCGTCTACAAAAAAATTACAATTTACTCATGTTATGGATACTTAATGTTTATAAAATCGGTCTTGTTAATTAACAATTACATAAAATTTAGCTTATTATAAAATAAGAGATAATCAACCATTTCATTTTAATAGTCGTAGTAAATTGCACCTGATAGGTTTTTATCCGTTACCCCGTTTTAGAATTTTAATAGCTACGTAAATTAAGTAGTGTATAAAAATAAAAAATTATGTAAACACAAATTATTTTCTGTAAGTTTGATGTGTGTGTATTTTGTGAAGGCGACCAATGTAAAGAAGTAAGAAAGGAAATTGTTAGGTTAGGACAAAGTGATGCATGCAACTTTCTAGAAACCATTCAACTTCTCTAAAGTGAAACTGAAGTAAACCGGAATCAATGCTTGACAAATGATAAATCCGTTGACAAATTAAAAAGCATTTTATCTAAAGGGTTCGTAGTTACTCTAAATGGAGTTATCTTTATAGGTGATCGATTTTAGAAGATTGACACCTCGATTCGATTCTCAATATGTCACTTTTTTAATTAGAACTTTATCAATAAGACTCAACAAAGATAAAAGGAACGTTTATATTATGGAAAAAGGTAAAAGTCCCAGATGCCAAATAAATGGTTCTGTCATATGTACAGGAGATAAATTTCCTAACATCTAAAAATGTACGATAACTCATGATTTATAAAACTACGCAGACTCAAAGCCCAAAGCATCAGGAAACCAACCGAATAGATTAGCTTTGCACATCGTAAGCGAAACCTTTTGCATACACAGAGCTCTACGATGAATCGTATATGTGATTGGATGCGTTAGAAATATGGTAGACTCGGGTCTGACCTGTTTGGCGATCGTATTTTGGAGCTCAGTGACTCTCTTGTTGCCCTCCGAGTCGCCGTTTACACTACTTTGCTCCTGCGCACACCGAAACATAGAAAGGGGTAACACAAAAATTTAAATGAAACATGCCCAGCTAAGACCGTTTGACGGTACTATACTCTCTTCCGTGGCGTGACTCGACATCTCGGATTGTTGGGTAACTTCTAAAGTATACAAAACAGTCATCGAGTTGATTTTTGGCTTCAGAATTTTATAAGTGTAGTGTCAATTCACAATATAACCGTAAAGTTTTACACCAACTATTTGTCTCCATCAGAGAATCAAAGACGTAAAAAGTATTGGAAACTGTCATCCAATGTGAGACATAGCGACGATAATGACTTTTATCACGCCATAGAAGAGCTGTGGATCACGTACTGTACATCTTGTATTTTATATACTGTATTAATATATCTGGAAGTAATTTAACAAATAGAAAGAACGAAATGGGCCGCCATTAGTAGTCAAATCCAGACAAAGATGTAGAGAGCGTGTCCACCTATAAAGAAAATCTAAAAAGAAATGAAATTCTAAAACACGTCGCACAATTAACATTCACAAAGCGTTTGTCTTGTATAAACATTGAGATGTTGAATTTGGACTTAATTTTTGTGTAAACGCAGGAGAAAAAAAAAACTGGCCAATTTGTTCAGTTATTTCAGGTACAGTGTGAATGTATTGTGTCAGTCCTTGAGTGAAGAACTTAGATGCTTCCCCTTATATCTTACCTCAACTTATTAATCTTTGGACACTATTATAGCTATCGTAGTTTTTCCTTTTTGCGCAGTGATGGCTATAGTTGGTAACACTGATATAAAAATATAATTTAAAACAAATTATGTGATAATTAATTGTGTCTAAATTAGGTTTATATTATTATGTCTTACATTCACCAAACTATTTGTTTCTCACCATATAATTTCTAATTTATTATTAATTTCTTTAATGTATCATATAAAGTACGTGGTTATCAGCTTTTTAATAAGATAACTGTCATCAAAACTAGTTTTGGTGACAGTTATCAGACTAAAATTATAACAACTGTCCACCGCACACAAAAATAAGTCAACTGCCATTTCTTTCCAACACCCACTTGTTAACGCGGAGTGTCATAAAAGTTCGCAAACACTAAAGTAGTAAACTATACTTAAGTGTCCCCACTTAATTATTAAACTATTTTACAAGGAAATAAAGGTCTGCCACTAAATATGAATCTTTTTTTTTTATGTGAAAAGTTGCCAAACGAGCAGACGGTTCACCTGATGTTAATTGAATACCGCCACCCATGGACATCTGCTACACCCGATGGTTTGCAGATGCGTTGACAACCTTTTTGGAAATTGGGCTCCGGCCACCTCACTCACCAGACGAAACGCGAAAGTATTATGCTTCCACTTTACGCCGGTGTTCTGTGAGGTCGTGGTACACACCCGGACGAGCCTGCCCGTTCGTGCAACAGACGAGGCTGCTGCGTGGCCGTACCACCGTTAAGATCATCATACAATCTGCCACCGAATATACCTTTGTCTGTTGCGGCTCGCCGTTCTGTTCAGGGGAGCCGCCGACGCTGCCATTCTCTTTCGGTTTCTCGTTCTCGTGGGCGTTCGACGATTTATACTGCTGCAACTGAGTGGAGATTGAAAGAGTGATGAGATTAAACTTACCTTAAAACCCTACACTCAATTTAAATACGAAGACAAAAGCGTTGAATATTATATTTTAAGCCATATATTATTGTTAATGTTATATGACTTAAAAGTTTTTATTTATAATTTATTGGTTTAATTAGAAGTTCCGCATTGCCTATATAGGTATTTTTTTAAGACATCGGGGAATCTAGAAAACGAAACGACTCACTTCCTCTTTGGTTAATGCTAATTCTTCTTCTAGCGCCGTATTTCTCTCTAACGCCACGCGGAGTCTCTCCCGAACCTGAAAAGTTTATGGCACTAATAAGAAGAAGTCTTGTAATAAATTGTTTTTGGACAGTTTTACATCGCCTGCAACAAATTATTATATTTCGATACAGACTGGTTTTTTCAGTCTATGTTTACGCAAACCTTCTGGGCCTCATTTTCCTAAATCATGTGGGGATACATAAACATTTAGATCGATTTTTATCCTGGACCATCAACAACATACAGTCCTCCTTAGTTAGTTAGAATGGAAAGTTGTACACGAAGTACACAACGATATAATCTATTTGCGGCGTCGAGATGAGATAGAATTAGATATCTATTTAAAAGAAATGGCTGAGGAACCAATACAATTCAGTTGTCGGTTACCAGGTGTTCGCAGTTAAAGCCAGGTATGTTCGAACATCTTCCCCGTTTCATGTCCTTCTCTGGACCTGCTTACCTTCTCGTCGAGCGCCTTGTGGTGTTCGAAGAGGCTCTTCAGAGCCTTGAGCACCTCCACCTCGGAGGAGACGCCGGACTGCGCGGCCGCCTGTCTCTTCACCACGGTCATGCGCAGCGAGCGCTCGTGCCGCGACACCAGGCATTCTAGGTGCTCCAAAAGTAACTGGGAAGGCACAACACCCGATTAGAAACCGGCACAGTCTGAACGACTGAATGGATTAGAGTGAAAGGAGTTTTCACTACATTAAAAAAAAAACATCTGTTTTAAAGCACTGGTAACCCATCGTTCAAATCACGATCGAAGCGAGAGAGCTATGGTATCAACTCTTAGGTTGTAAGTTCTTGCCAGGGAAGAACAGAACACATCTTTTTACGGAGAGGTTAAGTGAAAGGGGGGGCGTAGACTGGGGGTGAACTCGTTTCCTCATCAGATCGCCACGCACTCCAATCGGCTATCGTCCTGAGTCTAAGGCACAAAGATATATAGGTTTCGGGTTCTATTTGAGATAAACCTATAATAGTTGTCGCGTTTGTAAATCAAACTATAATTGTTCAGCACAGGTATATTGTTTATTTACAATTTAAAACACGTAACATATACATATACAACGTTAGAACTCACACATACACAACAGAGATTTAATTGTCCAAATATTAGCACTGGATTCGCCATGTTTACGTATCGGTACAAGTGACGCAGTTTAATGTACGGAAGCCGTGAGCGCACTCCTGTATCGCGCGATGCAACGGCGCTTCCAACTCCAGCGCAGCCGCGACGCATCTCGTGCAGAAATGTGTAAGTATAATTTGTAATAAGATTAATAATTATTTATTATTTTTATTTAATATTCTTTATCCTTTCAGGTGGCGTGCCACAGAGATATACCCGCAGTCAAGCTCGGTTTATCGGCGGCAAATGGGCGCTGAATAAATCAGACGAAATCATGGAAACCGCTGAAGCGTCACGGCACCGGCCGCACGGTACATTGACAAAGACATTCAAAAATATAATCAGCCACTTAGAAGGATTTTTTGAAAGAGAACAACGGGTGTAATAAGCCGCTGTTTACTGCTTTTCCGCACCGGTAATACGGTTGATTACAACTCTAAAAAGAAACAAACATTTTGATGTTGGTTTTCGTCATTTACTACGACATGGTGATGACTGTCTATCTAATTTTGGCCTCCATACAAGCAAATTCGATCGACCCTATTTGAACTGATTCTCGAGGTGTCAACGAATCGTGTGCGAGCATTCGTTGTACATGTTTATGTCATAAAAATTGCTGATAGGTCGCAATAGGCCCGTTCCGGTTCGAAAACTTCCAAATTGCCGTCGCGAAACGTGAACCGTAAATTGCCAAGCGAAAAAGTTCGCGATGAGCAATAAACAAACTTTTATTGCCTGACACGGTAGCCCGTTTCATTTCAAATGGTCTTTTTACCTTCACGTTTTTTGTGTTACATACAAAGAAGGATAAATCTAAAGTGAAGGTTTTAACAAATGTCGGATAAAATCGATATCGAATACTTCTCATTTTGCTCTTTTGCATTGTGATTAGTTTCTCTATTTACTCGCATGTGTTCGGTTGACTGGCTGAGAACAATTAATGGCGTTAAGTCTGCCTTTGAACGCTATTGTGCAAAAAGTTTTTAAATAAATGAATGAATAAGAAATATCGGTATAGTTGGATATAAACGATATGAAATACAGGTATAGTCGAATATATCGAAATCAAACTAGCATTCCAGGTTTCATAAAATATTACAAATGATTTAGAAGCACTCGTGTGGAACTGTCTATTGATACAGAGTGTATTGAGAAAATAACCCTCAGAGAATTAGTAAGACGAAGTGGCAATGGACTGGCCATTAGGCTCAAAGAACCGATAATCGATAGGGAAGAAGCAGCCTTGTATTGGCCACCGTAGTGTAGGACGATGGATGTCGTCTAGATGGAGTGACGACATGTGCAAGTGAGCGGGAAGTCGATAGATGCAGGTGGCTCAAGATCTTGCGTCACCTAAGTTCAGCAGTGGGCTAAAACAGGCTGAAGTGACGAATGTCATAGATACTTTATCTTTTCCTTTAAACGAACAATTCTTGTATATTTATAATCAGAATCTCGGAAACGGCTCCAGCGATTTTCATGAAATTTAGTATGTGCGTAGATTCGGGGGCGAAGAATCGATCTAGCTAGGTTTGATTTTTAGAAAATGTCCTTTTATCCCTGTTTTCAGGGAATGAAAAATATCGTTCGAATATATAAATGTCGTCGAAAAAAAATGTTATAATAGCACGGTCGGCTACTTAGCAACGTAACTAACGGCCTTTCATTGAATATAGGAACCGGGCATAAGCAAGCGCGGGGCCCGTAGCAAATTCTTTCAAACAGCCCCTGATCTGCAATCGGTTCTTATGTATAAAGTGGTAAGAAAACAATTCAACGCTCTTACTTACATAATAAGTTTCACTCGAAAATCAGACAGAGATGAGTGGGCTTAAATATGTGGGGCCCCCTTTGTCGCGGGGCCCGTAGCAATTGCTGCTCTTGTCAAATGGTTAGTCCGGCACTGATACTAAAGCTTCATCGTTCCAGAACTCGATAGAGTTACTCCAGAGTTCGATATTACCTGCGACGACTGATACCCGGAGAGGAGTGTTTTAAAAATATTCTGTAATTTCCTTGTTAAGACAATTAGAATACTTTGACCATTTTCATATGTGGATTCAGCCAATATTAATTTATTCAAAGGTCACAAGGCATATGAATTGTTCAATAAATTTAAAAGTGATAAAAGATAACGCGACGTTGTGATAATGTGAAAGATAATTGACAAGTAGTGTTAGAACTGTGTTCATTTAAGGTCGCTGTTTTAACACCGTGCTGTATATAATTAACAAATGTTTACGTCAAAAATTTTATACAAGCATCCGGTGCTTGAACTATCGAGTGTGCTGAATAGATTATGGACCATTTAGTACAGACAAAATAGACACGGTTGATTATTATTCGAACACGGTTTGAGGCTAATGCTGGATTAATCTTTCATATTTCATCGTGTGATAATTTTTGAAGCAAATTTTCATTTGTTAAAAAGCCTAAAGAAGCCGTCGCGAGTTCAGTTCCCGCTTTACGACCTCTCATACAGAATTCATCGGGAGGCGGGCGAGCTCGCTATGGCGTATGCTTTATTCAACGCTTGTATACAATGGTAGATGCTAAGGAATCACACTCCCTGTGCAGTTCATTGGTACTAGTATTGTTACAGGCTCTACATTTAGACAGGCTGTAAAAGTAACATCAAAAAGTTCCATTTAAAAAAAAAACTAGTAATGTAACGGACTACGCAATTTTTACTGGTACCTTTCTCAAATGCTTTTAATTTAGATAACGCTCGTAAATTAAAACAGCTATAGACAACATTGCTTTCATTCATATAATTTAAGAATAAATAATAAATTAATTAATATTTCCGGACACATTTTTACACAACATTAATTATTAACACTAACACTCTAGTCCCAAACCAAGCAACGCTTGTACTATGGGTACTAGAAAACTGATAATAAACATACATAAACATACTTTTATTTTGTAAATAAATACATATTATAAATATATAACCCAGACACTCGAAAAACACTATGTCATCACACAATATTTTTCCAGTAATGGGGATCGAACCCACACCCTCTGGCTCTAAAGGTTCCCTACTCCCAACGCCAATCGGGTCGTCTATACTCTACAAGTGATTCTCAACCACTGTGCCGCGGCACTTTTGTGTGCCGCCAAATTTTGCAAATATATAATAATGTTAATATTATTAAATTATATCATTTAAAAAGAAAAATATTTTTTGGCATTAGCCAACATTAAAACTAAAAAAAGATCAAGATTGTTAAATGTAGAAGACGATATGAGAGTAGCATTGTCATTTTTTCGACCAAATATAAATGAAATTATCAAAAAACATCAAGCTCAAATTTCAAATTAAAAATATTTATATTATTAGCTTGTAATTAATCCCTTAATAAACGTTTAGTTATTATTGTAGTATATATTAGTTTATTTCGTATATTTAAAATTTTTGTCATAAACTATTTATGCAGTGTGTTGTAGTAAGTAAATAATTTTTATCTTTTTCTTTGTGTGCCGCCAAATTTTGAAATCGTTAAATATGTGCCGCAACAAAAAAAAGGTTGAGAATCACTGCTCTACAATATAGAAGTTACTATAGAACACGTTCCATAACAAGATAAATAGGGAGAATGTGACTCACCCTTGTGTTGTTTCTTTCGGCTTTGAGCTCGGAGATCTCCTCTTCTCTCTCCAACAGCTGCTCCCGGGCTTGGTTCAACTCTTTCGTGAGTGTCGCGAACTCCTGTTGAAACAAGAGAAATTCATATAAATACTAGCGGCTGCCTGCGACTACGTCTGCATAGAGGGGTGAAAATTTAGGGTTGTATGTATATTTGTATTATGCTGTATCACAAAAAATAAAATTTTTTTTATAAAAAAAAAAAAAAAATTAGGGGTGGACCGCCCTTAACATTAAGGGCGATGAAAAATAGATGTTTTCCGATTCTCCACCCTGGCCGATATGCACACAAAATTTCACGAAAATCGTTCGAGCCGTTTCGGAGGAGTTCATTAAAAAACACCGTGACACGAGAATTTTCTATATTAGAAGACTGTTCAATAAAAACAAAATACAGTAGAACCTCGATTATCCGAACCAATTGGCACGGAGGCTAGTTCGGATAATCGAAACGTGGATTTTTTAGGACGAGATTATAAACAACACCTTATCACAGAAAAACATTGCATACATATATATTACAGTTTGACATTTATATTAACTTCGAGATAAGTGTTAAACAGTAGAAAAAATTCGAATGTTAATTTTTTTTATATTTTCATAAAATAATAAAGTTGACGAACGACGAGCAACAATGTCTATTACGCACCAACGTTTGGATAATTGAGCTTTCGGATTAACTAATTTATTATTATTCTAATTTAGGCTTCGGATGATATCGCTGTATATAAAAATTTAGCTTTTCTATTTTTAGTTAAATACGTTCATTTTCATCATGTATGCTTACTTATAACTGTACTAAATGAAACTATATTTAAGGATTTATCGCGTTTATTTTTGTTTTAATTCTCGATGTTTCGAACCCTTTACAGCGTTCATGGTGCACGGAACAGACATCCGTAAATATCGTTTCTTTAGTAATGTGTAATCGCCTAAATACAAGAAATTATTACTTATAACTGTGTTATTTCTTTAATATATTTTGTCTTTATTCGCAAAGCCCACCCATTGCATATAAGGACGTTTGTTATAAATAACTTCTTTTTAAGTATTTTCCTACCCTATTGGTGTGCAATAGAGAACAATCGTTCAGTGATACGGTGAGCCACGTCTCATGTCACAACAATACAGGCAGCATTCAGCTGCAACAAAAATGGAGCAACGAACCAGCGACGTCCGCCTTCAGTGCCACTCGAGCACCATCCGATACCCTCAATGAGACGTGCCAAAGGAAAGAACGTCCTTTGTCATCGGTTATTACTGAGCCGGCCCTGGGATTTGAACGGAGTGCCTACGTACACAAAGGCCTTATCCGATTTTGGCACGGAACGGACTTTACGTACGTCACGGTGCAGAAACCTCGTAATAGTGCAAACCCACCCCGATATATCTCGAGTAATGTGACAGGCGGTGAGCCTATCGTCGTTCTAGCGATCGATCGAACGAATGAAATCTTGAATAAGTAATGGGGAAATTCAATGTATGTGCTCTCGTACGTGAATCTCATACATTTTCTGGTTCTGTTCGGTGTAACTTGGAAATGTTTGAGCAACATGCGACCAAAACTTCTTAATGTACCCTAGTAAACGTGTGTGAACCATAAAGTCGAGTATAAAGGTCATGGGACGAAGTCAAGAGCGAACTATAAAGTCGAGCATCACAAATATTAATCAATACAGATAAATAAAATTGGAGTGTCTGTTTGTAATATTAAAATAACCGCTTTTTAACTAAATGCATCTGGATGTATACACGGTATATATACCAAAATAACCTTTTTTACAATTTTTGTCTGTCTGTCTGTTTGTTCCGGCTAATCTCTGAAACGGCTGGACCGATTTTGATGATCCTCGCACTAGCAGTTAACTGATGTTATAAGGAGTAACTTAGGCTACTTTTACTTTAGAAATTATTTATTTATTTTAAACTCCATGCGGACAAAGTCGCGGGCACAGCTAGTCATAAAATAGTTTCATTTAGCCATCAGAACACTTTTTCGAGACTGACAGAGTTCTAATAAAGACGAATTCAGTTGGAACCTCACCGAAAGGCAAGTGGAGGGTGTTGCGGCCTCGGCCGTGGACCCCAACGAATTGATGAAAACTTGAAGAGGTCGACGGGGCATCGGGGATCGGGCGTGAGACGCATCTTAATTATGTCCCCCAAGTGAAAATATTCGGGGCTCGTGATATCAGAGGGCCATTGTGAATAAACTGAATGGTGCGGATTAAAAATAAGAATGGTCGACCATTCTTATTTTTGTTTTTTACCCACCATTGTTTTTTAGGGTGGCGTACGTAAAAGGTAAGAAAAAAATATTTAAGTGGGGCTCCCATACAACACGTCATTTTCTTGCCGTTTTTATAGACAGTGGTACGGTGCCCGAGTCCGACTCGCACCTGGCCAGTTTTAATTATTACGTGAAAAGGTGGCAAGTGCGCTGGCGGTTCACCTGATGTCAAGTAATAACCGCAGCCCATAGGCACTTGCAACACCCGTAGGGTTGCAGATGCATTGCCACCCTACAATAAAGTGGGCCCCGGTTATCTCACTCACCAGACGAAACGCAGAAGTATTACACTTCCAGTTCTTGGTACATACCCGGACGGACCTGCCTATTCATGCAACAGCGGAGGCGTGTTGCGTGGCCCTTTCTTTTGCCATACAAAGTCAGGGCCTTACCATAAATCTAGACATAGGTACCTAGATATATAATAAAAACATGAAGCATAACACATTACTCAACAAAAATGTCTAAACCGCCAGATAACTTCATAATTATGAAACCTACAGAAGTGATACGTCTTTATTAAAACTCTTTATTTACCACACGTTCCGGTAAGTAGCACAAAAAGTCCAATCGAACATCTCTACTCAACAACCACAGTTGCGGAGACATTAAATGCCCTTGAGGTGGTACTCAACAGAGTTTTACATGCAAGTTTTGCTTGTAATACAGAGGGATTCAGCATACAAATAGATTAGACGGCCCAAGATACACTATGCATCATCTTATTGCTATTACACTAATCAGGAAGATGTATCACCGAACAGTGCACAGTGCACATTGCTTTGAACAGTGACAAGTCATGCTCAAGTTGGCACGTGCCTATAGAGTAGACAGTACAAGAATTCGGGCCATCCAGGATCCCTGTACTCCACGTCAGCCGAGCAACAAAGCTTTGCCAAACACGTTTGATAATTGAAGTACCTAATCGATCCGTATGGACGGCGAAGAATTTCTACGCCTCGGTTCCGGCCCGTCTCGCACATACCTTCCGAAAGTGTTTTATATTTAAGTTATTAAAAGTATGATATCGTATTCTGTTTCATTGAACATAATATAAACAAATTTCTATTAGATAACTTATATTATACGACGAGATAATACAGGATGTAAGAATATAACGGAGCTGAGTAGCTTTTAAGTGATAATTGTAAATAATTAAACAGTATAGATGTTTAACGTTGAATGTTCTTTGTAAGGTGTTGTGTGCTGTAAAGGATGCACATTAGACGGCGTCAAGCATTGCTAAAATGCAATAGAGAGTACATAGAGAGAAGTCGAGATTTTCGCACCGTGAGGTCGTCGGCCGATTAGCTTAGTTGGTAAATTAGGCGTCTGTACGCGAAATCAGAAGACGCAGGTTAGAATCCCGCAGTGCCGAATGTTTTTGTTAATTTATCTAAAAAATGTATAATTTAATATATCAACTTTGTTTTTTTTTTTACATCAGAAGGTGTAAAATAAACAAATGATAACCGCCGCCTTTAAGCCAATCTTTAAAAAAAAGAAAGACCCCGGTTACTTCACCAGACAAGATTCAAAAGTATAATACTTGCAATTCACGCCGATCTTCTGAAAAGCTATGGTACTTCCGTGGACGAGCCTGGTCATTTGTGCAAGTTTTTTTTTTAATTTGATAAGTTGCCAAGCGAACAGACGGCTCACCTGATGTTAAGTGAATACCGCCGCCCATGGACATCTGCTACACCCGAGGGATGCAGATGTGTTCACAACCTTTTGAAAATTGGGCTCCGGCCACCTCACTAACCAGTCGAAGCGCGAAAATATTATATTTCCACTTTACGCCGGTCTTCTGTGAGGTCGTGGTACTGACCCGGACAAGGCTGCTCATTCGTGCAACAGCCGAGGCTGCTGCGTGGCCCTACCACCGTGAATACAGTAAAAGCTGCTACGTGGCCCTGTCTGAATCTGTCTAATTCTAATGGTTCATGGTAACAATCGCTGGTTGTGAAGTAACTGATCCAATAACTACTTTATTTAGAACTTAGTGTATCAACAATTTTATGAAAATGAAAAGCTTTCGCGACACAGTAATACTGTGGATGAGGCGTGTTAAAGACGTCCGCTCCGTTGGGCGCCATAGCTCTCTATTAGGCGAGTCTGCACGCTCCCGTCTGGTCCACGGGGATGAAGACGTGACGTCAGCTGCGAGATACCGCCTCTGGGGTATTGGCAAGATTCACGAGTATTGTCTATTTAAATGTTTCACGGTACGTGTGGTATAAGGCAATCTACGACCTATATTATGCCTAAGGTAAGATAAAATAGAATAGGGTAACTAAGGGTACTAACACATGCATTTCTATAAAAAAATAGATCTATTTACGCTCGTTTTTTTTAAATTTTGTATTTTTCCCCATCTATGCAGAATATTAAGGAAAGCGCTTATTTTTACCGCAACTTATTATTATATGAATAGATGTGTTTAAATTCATTTCATTAGAAAACAAACCTAAAATGTTAGCGTTTTAAGTAATAACTTCCATTTTTTTATCTTAGATAAGTATCGTAAACGGAAGAATCGCAATTATTTTTATGCAAAAACATTTCACATTCATATTCATGTATCGAAAACTTGGACTTTGTAACCAGTCTCACGAGAACTCATAACAAAAACGAAAACTCATAACGAAAAAGTAAAGTAAAAATCGTAAGGATTTTATGTGCATCTTTGTTTATACCTCGTATGAATAAAGCTGTATTTTTTATTGTTCGTAATTTATTCTTATTCTTTATTTATTTTTATTTATTTATTCTTTATTGAAAACAGGTCAAAAGGGTTACAAATGGCGGACTTAATGCCTATTGGCATTCTCTACCAGTCAACCCGGGGCGTGAGGAAAAATCGTGGTAGGTGCAATAAATAAAATTGCATAATAAAATGTGACTTAATAATATATGCATTACACATCATATAACTTCAGAATATACAAGATATTATATAAAACTATTTTATGTAACACTATATACAATACAAAGATATAAACATATACACATATACAGCGTGTCGTCTTTATTGTACACAGAGTATAAGAGAAAACAAAATTACAAAAAATAAATAAGTAAAGTAAATAAGAAAAGTACAACGGCGAGCTTAACCCTAAAAATAATTTTCTTCCAGCGAACCCAGACATAAGATTAGAAACAAATTATGATAGGTAATTTCTTTTACTTCATATTGATTGAATTGTCTAAATTGTCTGTCCGAAACTAAATTTATGTTTTGTTAATGATTCGTTTCACAGAAGACCGGCGTGAAGTGGAAGTTTCACACTTTTACAACCGTTGGTAACTGGGGCCCATTTCATTAAAAGGTGGCAAGGTATCCACAAACTTACGGGTGTCGCAGACGTCTATGGGAGGCGGCCATCACTTAGCATCAGGCGAACCACCAGACACAATTTCACATGAAACGTGTTTGTATATATCTATTTTGATATATACAAACACGATTCGTCTAAGTAAGCTCTTGAAACTGACGCTAGAACGCCTCCCTATCATGTTTTCATTCAATTACTCGAGACGGTTGTGCTTATTCAAGCGAAAACCAGTTAAATTGCCTAGACACCGCCTCCAAGTAGTCTCGAGACGTTTTAAGGTGACGCTCATAAAGATAACTTTGAGTGCCGGCTGAGAAACAACGCGTCTGGTTAAGATCAAATTGCTATAAATGCAAATGAAGGCGTTGAGATGAGGTATTGAGTTGAATAAATATTTATTTTCGTAACATGATCCTAGTTATACGCGATCACATTTTACACAAATCACAAAATATAGACATGTTAATAGACATCATCTTAGACGTACTTATGTGAATCAAGTTTGCGAAACCAAACTCCTTAGCGCTAGGTTATTTAATTATTGTGACATTTTTTATATTTTTGTACATTTTATATATTAGAGACTTTTCCATCTTTGAGTGTTGTTAATTGATGATTTATCCCGTCCCATAGCAAAAACGCAGCAAATTCCTAATGGTAGACAATGCTTGTAGACGTTCAACTGGTCCAAGATTTCTCTTACATTGTGTTGAATAATTCAGTGCTAATATTTACAATTTAGAAACATTGAGTAACGTGTAATAAAGTATTGATTTGTCTTTTTTGCAATATTCAGTCGTACGTGTTGCAACTTTAGACCAAATGCAAATGCAATAATACATTTAAAGTCATTCACTTCGTATTACACGTGGCAGCTTTGTTCATGAAATGTTCCAGTTTTTATTCCTTTCAGTGAGTTTTAGTATCAGACTTTCTTTCAAATTCACAAATCGCAATGATATCACTAATTAAAATTAACCCAGTCCGCTCATTGCTATACTCTTTCTTCCTAAGCAAAGCTTTTTAAGCAAAGGCCTGCACTTGTGAAACCATTCTTAATTGTTTTCAATCTTGCCAGTTCTTTAAGCATACTAAATTAAACTAGTTTACGGATTTTATCGCGTTTTTCATTTTGATTCGAACTCCCGACGTTTCGAACCCTTTCCAGCGTTCATGGTCACGGGACAGACTAAGTTGTTATACGTATTGATGTCATAGTTAACCCCTATAATATTCGCGTAAAATCAAGAAAACAGTTCTTCAAGCAGTCAAATAATGACTACTTTATTATGAAAATATCATTAAATGTTACCTTCACTATTTTTCAAATATTCTTTGTTATAACTTTTTTAAAAAAAAATGTGCCCGATGGATTCATCTAATTTAACAATCATGTTTATTACATGAAACATACATATATAAATGTCTTTAATATATTCAGTTTTATTATGGTCAAAATATTTTATCGATTTGATCATACTTTTGTTAATGTTTGTAGAACGATTTAAACACAATTGAGATCTAATGTACCGATCTATTCTTGAGATTTCTAATTTATCATGACAATGTCCGTTATAATACCAAAAGTCCTATAGCCATATTTATGATTATCATTTTTATTTTAAGTGCTAGTATGCACTCTAGATAAAAATTAAATGTTAGTTTAATGGATTACTTGTCGAATTTATTTATTAAATCTATCTTAAAGCTCCATCCTATCATTATCATCATTATCCGTCATTTCAGCCTGCTTTAGTCCACTGCTGGTAGGCAACATTGGGCATATAGGATATGCTGTATCAAACTTTTCAATAAAATAATGAGTAAATCAATTACCTAAATTTAGGGTTAAACGAATAAATGTTGCCCATGACGAAACATTTTTTTTATGTGAGAAAGTGGCAAACGTGCTGGCGGTTCACCTGATGTTAAATGATCGCGGCCCATGGACATTTGCAACACCCGTGGGGTTGCAAATGCGTTGCCACCTTTAAATAAAGTGGGGCCCCGCTACTTCACTCACCAGACGAAAGGCAGAAGTAACACTTCTACTTTACGCCGGTCTTCTGTGGGGTCGTGGTACTTACCCCGACGGACCTGCCCATTCGTGCAACAGTGTTGCGTGGCCCTACCATCGCAAACTTTAAACGATTTGCAAAATTAGTTCCGGCCAATGTCCGACACAGCATTATTTGAAAATGACGGAAGTGTCAAAAGCATTACAGCCACATTGTGACGGGATGGCCTGTTATATTTGACATCGTAATTACATAGTTTACCCGGGCAACTGTCGGCACGTCGATTATTTGTTGGTTAACCGCAATAAAATAGTTGTAACAACTTGTCGAATAATTAAAAAAATAATCCTGCCCTCAGTAACAAGGCTGCACATTGTTCTCTTTAGTGGTTCACCTGATGTTAAGTGAATACCGCCGCCCATGGACATCTGATATATATAAATAAACTTCTCAAAAGAAATTTTGATTTTGACTTTCATAGAGTCCCTTATCAAAGTCAAAATCAAAATTTCTTTGACTTTGACTCGTTAACGTTGCTACTCTGTTAATGAAATTCATGAAGTCGAAATGTGCTCTATGAAGTGTTTGAAACATCGGGACAATTAATGATAATAATACTAAAACGCGATAAAATCCATAAGCAGGTTTTATAAAGTAATTCAATTTATTCACGTTTACGTGTTACGCCATTACGTAGCGAAGAACATATTTTGCGAAGTTGACTATACGTTTATCTTATATTGTAATACGTAAAATTACTCAGAAGGCGGGTGTGAAACGTCGTAGAGGCTGACACGCGAATACTTATGAGATTAGAGGGCCGCGAAATTTGCGTCTGGAATGCGGCAAGACGGGACATCTTTCTCGTCAAAAATAAAACTACGTTCAAAACCTAGTTGAGCAACCCCTTTAATATGAACATTTTTGTTCAAACTACATATTGCTATCACCTAATGCATTGAACTGAGGCGTGAACGAATTATGGATCGATTATGCCTGTTAAAAGTTCAAGTTTAACTGCACCACGGGCTTGTCGCGTCATTCTCATCAACAGATGTTGCGAGTGTCCGTGAATTTGGTGATTTATAATAAAAAATATAAGTTTCTTAATAAATCCAGAGGTGTTGCGATCTCGTTAGCAAGCTTTAAAATATGAACTAATGATAATACACTACATAATATAAATAATATACCTTTTAAATGGGTCTCCGTCCACCGCACTCATCAGACGATACGCTAAAAAGTTTATGCTATTTGAGTGGCAACACCCAATGCAGTCTGCAACACCCGTTGGGTTACAGATGCGTTGCCACCTTTATATTAAGTGGGCCCTGGGTAGCGCACTCACCAGGCCAAACGCAGAACTATAACAGTTCCAATTCACTCGGGTCCTGTGTGAGGTCGTGTTTACGGGCGTGCTAGCCGATCAATGCAACAGCGCGAATCCACCGCAGCGAAATTAATAGGAACAATGGCGCGCAAACAATCAATGAAAGCATCAACAACGATGCGGATTAATCGCCAGACATTTAAGCGAAAACAGACCACGCTCAATAGCCGCGACCCCGAGGGACTCTCATTAACGCCGCTAACAATGGCCCGATGATTGGCGACCGCGTGCGCTCTGATTAAAACGTCCGGAAGAATTGAATGCGCTCCGATTAAAACGTCCGGAAGAACTGAACTACTCCTCTGGGGGTCTGCTGCTACCGTGTTACAAGGCTTTGACACCAATCATAGGCTTGTGGAGGAGAGGCTAGGTCCACAGGAAGAGCACCATCTAAGAATCTGTATTGTGTTTTTAATAGACTATCAAAAAAGAGTAGGTACCTTATGTCTTTTGTACTTATGTATATGCATGCAAATGTATTTACGGAAGAACATATTTATGTCTGTGAGTATGTATGTTTATTGTGATATAGACATTTCTATGTGATACAATAAACATAAATAAAGACAGTAATCTTTACGCAGATTTGACACGGGCATCTTGGCTGGATTAATCATTATTCATTGCTCAACTATTGCCCTTTGTAAAATTTGTGTGTACAGTGCTTTAAGGTTACAATTGTACTCTGGCAGGCATTTGTAATTCAGAGGCAGTTGTCTACAGTTCAAACAAATACTTAGGACCGTATTCGAAACCACGGTCCTAGCGTCAATACCCATCGTTTGACAACTGCCCAAATCGGGCACTCACGAAAAAATACAAACGCTTAACAAAATAAATTTGTTTCTGCATAATCAATTACATCAACCCTAGATAGATTTGTCACCTGCCTCAGGCATAAAGTCCCCTGCTCACATAATTTCTTGCAAAAGTGTAAATAAATAAAGAAACAAATAACGAAGGCATAGGTAAATAGCAATGACAATATGTAAACGAATGTCCATAGACGATTTACAACTGAAATGTTTCCAAGCAACGATTAAATATTTATCGGAATGGAAGCTGTAAATAGCATTATTGAATGATTGCGACCACTCCAACGCGAGCGAATTGTTCTTGTCATAAAGTCTCTATAGATTATCAATACATTATAGTTACTCGTATCATTTAACGTTCTTTCAACTATTAAATGATTTTGAATTCGACCGGTTCATATGTATAATTGTATGTATATAAATGTATAAAACCCGATAAACAGTGTCCTTTTAGCAAATTTCTATAACACCTACGCAGCTTCGCATTTAAATTGCTTCTATGGTATACGAGATAAATACCACATTTAAATATAGTATCAATGCTATAACCATATTCATTTTATAAGTGACGTGTAATTTCGGGAGATCCGCATTATTGACATAGCTAGGCCTATGCGACGGGTGTCGCGGACAGTCGCGTCCCATCCCCATCGCATGTCAAGACAGCGACTATAACCATCAGGGAATGCATAGGCACTTACATGACTTCATTTGTTTATTCCACCTGATGCTTCCAGTCGTGTCGTGTCATATTATTGCATCATTACCGTACCAACGCCAATTTGACGAGACTGCGCGTCGGCTCTACGCGTACAGTCGCGTTGAGCACGCGCTTCGGGTCCAAACCGGAACCGGACTTGGTCGGTCGGTGTACCCGGTATACAGTCGCGCCCGCACTGACCTGCGTGTCATTGTATCCCATCATTACCGTACGCACGGCAATTTGACGGCTCTACGCGTACAGTCGCGTTGAGCACGCGCGTCTGGTCCGACCCGGAACCGGACTCGGTCGGTCGGTGTGGCCGGTGTACAGTCGCGCCCCGCACTGACCTGCAGCAGCGCGGTGTGCACGCGGCACGAGCACACGGCGCCGTTCTTGCGCGAGCACGGCGCGCCGAGCCACGCGCACGCGCCGCCGCGCAGCATCGCGCGCGCACATGCCGCACCGACGCCTCACTGTCGCCAAACCCCCCCCCTCCCTCACTCCACCGCCTCTACAATATCTTCCTCGCCCAAGTCCTCTCCCTCACAACATCGCCCCTGCTATATCTTCGTCTTCAAGCCCCCTCCACTAAGCCACCATCTCTACAATAGCTTCCTCATTAATTCCCCTCCCCCACTCCACCAACTCTTAAATATCCTCGTTGTCAGGTCCCCCTCTCTCGCTCCATTGTCTCTACAATATCTTCGTTGCACACAAAACCGCGCTCTGTACACTGACGTTGACGACACTTGAAGTTCTAGTCACATAGACCAAAGCACCGCTTCAATGTCCTCGCGGGCAGACACACACAAAACCTAATCACTGTTTTGAACACCAAGTCCCGTAGGCATTTATCGCGACCGGCACAATTTATGATACTATAAAACAATGTATACTCAGAGATTTATCGCGGACGAGCGTATAGTTTGGCAATTTCTGCTAGAGGCGAGGCTATAAAAGATGAAACAGTGAAACATAACACGACCGCTCCATCAGCTCTGACGCCCGCGGAATTTCCGGGAGAATCGGGCGACGAGATAGCTCCGCAAAGGATCACCCGATACACAGACGAGGGTCGGACGGACCTGTCGATCGTAGCTACGTCACGTCTACGAAGGCTACGAAACTAGCGTATACAATAGGCATCGTTCACTGGGCATTTCATGAAAATTGAAAAAATAACAGATTATCATAAACAAGTATTCCTTTTCAAAAGAAATTTCGAATAAAATAGATATGTTGTGTACATAATAATACGAAATGGATAAAATATACAAGTTTTGGTATCATATTAAGATGTGTTGAATTGTGGTTTTATATAAAATAATATATCTTACAAATTAGTTTACATATGCTAGTAATGTCAAAAATCTACACATTATGTAGTTAATTTGTAGAAGGTACTAGATTAGATTACTTCATGATACAAATCTAAGGAGCAGAGTTGTAACTTTAAATGCCCATGAATGAAAGTACACAGACGTCCATAAATGTGTATCTTTTTCATATAAAAAAGAACGATAGTGATAATGCAATCAATACTCCAGTTTCAAATTTGATAATGCTCCAAAAATTCTACAGTTGTCTTATAATTGACTATTTCTTTCACGCTAATTCTTGTATTTCCGGAAATTCTTTGCATATAAACACCATCTCTTTGAAAACTTACAAACACACCTTTAATTTTAAAATATCAATTGGGGCGGTAAATTTAGCAGATGTTTCGGCATTCTACCCGCCAGGTGGCGTCTCGTGAACCGCTTATGCCAAACGGGCTGCCGCGATCGGATCGATGCGATATGGTCGCGAGCGAATCATGATTCATATCTGGACACGACGAATAACAAATGTATAGGATGAGTCGTAATGGAAATTCAGTTCTCGTGATGTCAGGCTATTTGGTTGTACACGTTAATTATTGGCGACATACGCCTTGCAGGCACGGATCGTATATCGGATTCAGTTTCGTAATTTTACTACAGTAATAATTATTTTAATAGAATTTTGTTCATTAAAATATTCGCTTTATTTTCCTCTACGATGAAACCATAATTAATAGTTTATATAAATTAATGAATATGCGAATATTGTTTCTGAAATTTACTACTTACACCATATTTTCAAATATATTAACATACATTTATTTTAGTTATATCATCCAATAGGTGTTTAAATTTATAATTTAATGAAATTAACAATTAAACAAAAATACAACAGACAGTATCGTTTCGTAGCGTACGATACTTCGGCTACGGCCGTAGCGATTTCGTAGCTAACGTAGCGAGCGCAATTTTATATTTTAAACACCCGAAACCAGTGCGATATCAACATCACCCAATGCAGTCGATACCAATATTTTAAAGTGGTAGCGAAATTAGTGCTAGATTAATGTACTGACATAAAGTCGCTTTTGCGATAAGCTCACAAAGGATAGCCATATCATGTCAGTATCCTTAATGAGTGCAAGTGGCGTCGGGCGACATGGTAATGCTTTTACGCGCTCTCGAGCGCGGATCCATGATTGTGATTTAATGAACTCGTTCGTGCATTTAACCACTATAACAGGCTTCTATTGCAGCAAACATATTTCAAAATCACGATAACCAATGTATGTAGGTGAAAGGAGCGAAAGTCGTGTAATGGAATATAAAAAGTATTCAGCGTTCCGTGGATGACTTTTTTAAATGTATGACAGTAAGATGGATATGAGGATTAGATATAATAATTATACAGCTATAAAAAGGTACGGTATAAAAAGTATACTCAAGATATACAGTATAAAGGTTTGAGATATAAAACCGTTAACTGTTTGGCGACCATTGCTTTATTTTATAATTGCATAATATTCTCATGTAAGTGGTATTGTATTGTCTTTTTGGGAACAAATTTCTATAACCTCATACAGCGTACTGTGTGGATTTTTGTATTTATAATTCCATGAGATTCACCCAGAACATTCTCGCTATGCACCATGAATGTTAAGGTTAACGTGCGATTTATTTTAGGTAGGTTTGCTCGTTAATGACTCGGTGGAGCTATTTCGAAGCTATTGGCCTCGGTGTCGAGGGTTCGATTCCCACAAGGTGGGGCACAAGTGTGAGTTGTGGCAAACAGAAAATTTTTCCGGATCTGGGTGTTTGTTTCCTAAGGAGAGTTGACGTTAGGCAGGCGGCCGGTAAAAAACATAGCTAAAACTGCTTACTGCAGGATTCACATGTTGTGACGACCCAACCTAGGTGGGATAAGGCAGCAGGATGACGATGTTTGCTCCCCAATTTGACCTTGCTTTATCCGTTCCTTAAAAGATCTAAATTGAAAAAAAAAAAAAAAGAGATTACTTTAACATATTTGCTCCAAGTTGGTCATAATTAAAATAACAAAGAATCGTTGCTTAAATCTTCCGGCTACAACATTAGTAAAACAATCATTCAAACTAAATAAGACAACGCTAACGTAAACAAATTGAGAAAATTTCTCAGAACTCGTTACAAATCACCGCCAATTTGGGCAAAGTTCACAGTAAACTTATTAAATAGCAGATTAAAAATGCTACCCGAGCGGCTAAACATAAATTGGTAAAATCTCTCGTCGGGTCGAAAAGAGATCTCTTCATAAGAGTGTACACGCAGAAGAGTGCTCAGGGTTAAAGGAAATAGTTCAAAACGTTCACGAAATTGGCACGATGCCTCCATGAGTGCGCTACACAATTCTATATTACAGAACGTACGTAATCTATATATTAATACGTGAAGCAGAAACTTTGTATCCCTTTTTACGAAAATTGCGCCGACGGAGGCGTATGAAATTTCCCACACTTATAGTTTATATAGAAGAGTGCAGTTTTTTTTTATATTATGCATAAATATACATTTAATTTAGAAAACATTACCACTACCATGTATATTTATTAACTGTCTAATTTCAATCACTGGGTGACCACTAGTTAAAAGAAATACATATATCCAGCATAAAGGAGACCATGCATAAAAAGGTAAAGACAAAAATGAGTTCAGTGCCTTTTGCTCATCATTGCGTGTTTTGTGAGCAGAGTTTTTTTCTCAAATATTTATCATGGTACGAAACGATTTTGTATGTTAAGAATAATAAAACTGTATTTCCTTAAATGTATATCGAACGAATGCAAAAGCGTAGAAAAAGAAATGGTAAAACTTAAAGAGGGTGGAGCTATAAAAATAGCGTAAAATGAGCAAAAGCGAGCGTTCATCTTCGCAGCGGACAATCCCAGTTGTCGGTATGCTTTCAGAGGAAACCTCATACACCGCCTGGGGTCGAGAAAAAGGCGCCACCATAAACTGGGGGAGCCGCACGATCGAAATTAAAAAGCTACATTAAGACACGAGATTTCCAAAAGGTTGTCAACACATCTGGAACCCTCGGGTGTGGCAGATGTCCATGGGCGGCGGTATTCACTTAACATCAGGTGAACCGTCTGCTCGTTTGGCAACTTTCACATAAAAAAAAACGCATAAATATTTCAACGTAAGCACTGAGAAAATGGAAGAACATTAAAGCTAGATACAGATGTGAAATTGGCTAACATGTTTTCTAATCAATAGGATGGCAAATTCTATCTACGATTCAAATCGCTTAGTTTATGCTTTACATAGACCACATACAACAAAGATTCGCGTATGCGTACTTCAGTAGCCTAGTGTTATATAAGTCTTTTCCTTGAAGAATCATGTGGGTTCATCATCACAGACTAGGTCAAATGTTAAAAAGATCCTTCAGTTTTTTGCAGTATACAAAAAAAAAACTGAGAAAGAAACTAAAAAGTCACACGCCGAACAATTCTCGTATAACTTTATGTTAAGCTATCAATCATATCTCCAAGAATTCGTCATGAATACTTTTTAATAACACAAAATCGACGCAAAATCGGCGCAACAAAAAACAGACGCGGTAAAACGCTACCGGTATCTGAAAAGCTGTTTACTTTTAAATTTACGAAAATAAAAATTACAGAGGAGTGAGATGACGCAAAAATGTGCAAACACGTAAACTTTCACAAAGACATATCTATAAATATTTGTTAAAACATGTAGAAAAAGTACGAAAAGATTGTCGCCGCTGTGGGAATCGAACCCACGTCTTCGGCATTCGCGGCCCGACGCTCTAGCCACTGAGCTAAACGGCTGATAGCCACAGCGACGAAAATCTTAATGCCTTCTTTCTACATTGTTATTTAGCATTTGAAGCAATGCTTGGCGCATCTATTGTTATATCCTTTCCAGCATACAATTTCGAATATCGTTTTAAAACGATAATTCGAACGAGAGATGTCGCCATTGCTTTTTATTAATTTTAAAGTTTTTTATAGTGCTAATCTCTGCACTTAAGATTGAACATTAAAACATATAGAAAAAGTACGAAAAGATTGTCGCCGCTGTGGGAATCGAACCCACGTCTTCGGCTTTCGCGGCCTGACGCTCTAGCCACTGAGCTAAGCGGCTGATAGCCACAGCGACTATTATCGCGAGCGAGTTATATCCTTTCCAGCATACAAACAATTTCGAATATCAATCGACAATATTTTCGTACTTTTTCTACATGTTTTAATGTTCAATCTTAAGTGCAGAGATTAGCA